GTTTAAGACCATATTTTCTCGTCTTCTCCGATCAATCATCAGTTATGGGTAATGATGCTATCTTGCATCACTCATATTATTGCAGCAAGAAATTACTGCAAAGTGTTGCATGAGGTTACAGCGTGGTAACAGTCCTGGCAGCAGGGTGTGCAGCTTGCAATGTCGACCAACTTGTAAACATTTTCTTCTTTCTTCGTCTGGAAAAAATAAGGGTCTGTATTTTACACAAATAGTTACAAATAAGTAAATAGTCATATCAATTAAAAAAAATTGATTAGGAGACATTTTTTATGTCATTTTATGAGGCCCCATTATTTTAAGTGCAGTATCCAACACTTATGCACTGTATCTCTCTGCCGTCTCTATTAAAGTGCTATGATGAAGGGTCATTGCCCAAAACGTCGCCTGGTAAAGCAGCGTTATTGGACGAATGTGCAAACAGGGTACGTCAAAGCAATGCTCAGTCACTCGTGGCATTGTGTACAACCGGCGAATGATGATGGCGCAATTGAGTGAAAGCAAGGCCGTAATTAGAATATATATATTGGGGGGGACACACATCCCCCCACAATATTCAAATATGCTCAAATAAAATATAGTTCTGTTTATATGATTGTGGTTATGGTTGTACTTTATTAATCCCTAATATCTGCCATTACATACAATGAAACAAGAAAAGGTAAAAAAAAGAAAAAACAGAGCAATGTAATACAATACACTGTTAGACATTATTGTAAAAAATAAATAAAAAGTCCATCCAATGTGTTAGTGAAATTTTTAATATTTTAGGCAGGAAATTCGTTTTCAAATTTATATTTTTTTCTGGGGGGGACCCCCAAACCCCCTGGAAGAATTGGTCCCCCCCCCAATGTTTATTCCATGGCTACGTACGTGACTTTACCGAAAAATCCAAGAAGATGAATCCCTGCAGTCACGAAAGCTTTAAATCGAAATGTGTGGGGCCTGTGATGCCATCGCTGTGCATGACGTCACTGCCACAAACAGCCGAGTCATGCCCAGGCGGAAAGACCACGTGACGCATGCGTCAGTGACGTCAGCGAGCAGGGCGAGCCGTCTCCTCCTCGTGAATATTCACGAAGCAATCCGCAGAAATCGGCTTCCTTTTCAACAGAGATTGTAGTTTTATATGACCTCGACGTCAAGCACATTTTTGTTGTTTTCTTTAATAGAGGCTATTACTTGGCTTGTTAACGCGTGGTCATTTAGCTGTCTGTTTTCAAGTTGTGTGCCTCCAATTGGTATATATTGGGAAGTTATTGAAGGCTGACCAGGATCAAAATTATGAAATAAAGAGGTGAACGAAAGCAGATTGGAATGCTTTTGTGGAAACTGATGTAAGAGCAAAAATCAACATCCTGTGCGAAGTTTATACCTGCGACGACATATAGGTCAGAAATGTATCGAAAGCTGACAAGGCTGCAATGAATCATGGGGAGGTGCACACTTGAAATGACACCAAGGGGAAGAGTAATCGAGTTATTGTGTGTGTCAGAACAGACGCAGGCTGGAGAGACGTTATATTGGCCGTGAAGGAAAATAAGTGGGTTCGTGCAGGAAACATCGCGATTGAGAGAGTTACAAAGACGTTGCCTTGTGCAGACGTAGCAATAAAGTCACCACGTGTACAGGAGCTAGATCAATTGTAGCATCACCAGATCGATAGAGATGGTAACAGCTTGGGAAGACCATCGATCATGCCTGATGATGATCTGTGTTTAGATACTGTATGTTGCTTAATTGTATGCATACCTGTCAACCCGTCATCAATGTCCTACATAATTACGGACCAATGCAGACCTTATTGGTCGCCCCGTGTCCTTATAAATCTCAACGTTCATCCTACAAAGTCCCATCACAAGGGAGAAACACAAACAAATCGACAACAGTTTTTCTGCCCGTATTGAAACGGCTGTACATCGTATGGACCTTAAAACTCAAGTTCCCTGTACAAGAATACGGGGTAAACCGTATGGGTTCACAGCTATGTGTATGCTACATACAGTACGTTGTATATTTGACTCCACTGGAGATTAAGGTGGATGTGGAAATGTGAAAAGGTCGGATACGTGCACGTCTGTAGAAAATAACAATTCGTGCCGTGCACAAATACTCACTGGGTGTGGAAGGTTAATTGGTCAGAGTGGTTATGTGATGGTCGGGATATGCAACGTACCATATTGGTTGTATTTTACATCTGCCAAATGTTTTTTTTGTGAATTGGGTTACTCACGCTTTTGGTTTCTTATTTACGGTCATGTTTTTTTTTTCTGAATGGTCAAGGCAATCATTCCACTTTTAGGCCTTTGGTATTATGGGCTTGCCCTCGGAATCATAATACTGTATCGTTCAATAAGATTTGAGTACATGTAGGTCACATGTGGGAGTAATGATATCGTCACGGGTAAAAGCGAGAGTCACATGAACCCGCTTTTCCCCCCTCCTCAAACCCACACATCATTCCGAAGGAAATGAGACTAACATTGTCTTTCATTGGAGTGTTACAGTGTGTTTCGTGGTTTATTATCCTATAACAAATATTGGTATTCATATATCTATATAAGTATTCATATCACCGACTATTTGAAGCATTGCACTGTTTCCTTTAATTGTCACAGTCTTCCATCACTACAAGACTTTGCTCTGAAATAATGGAATTGCTGAGTGTTAGTTAAAGTTAAGGCAGTGGCTGTTAACGAATACACGTAGGGTGTCTTTCCTTTTTTTCGGTACATCAATAGTTTTTCATCAGTGGATATTACCTGCTGTGACAAATGGATCAGAAACATTTATAAAAAAAAAAGTGGGCATGACACATTGATTGAAGGGATAACGACCATCGGTGGTTGAGACTAATAACGGAGTGGTAGCCCAAGGAGGGAACAGACTCGAGAGAAAGTTCACCACGGAGTAATGAAATTATGACGTGGACAGGAGCTACATTGTAGCATCATTAGACCCTGGAGAGATGGTGATGGTTTGTGGAGGCAGTGGATAGATTCAGGCCAATTATGATGGTGATGAGGGAAGCTTTCTCTTAATTTTCGTTACACGTATATTCATGACGATTTGAGACAAATCAGCCTTTAAGTGAGACATTTTGACGATAACTAGTCGATCATAATCGTTATAAATCTTAAACTCAAGACTACGGTAAACATTCTCATTTCCTACGCATGGGATTAGGTTTTATCTCATGTTGGATCAGCAGTAGAACTTAAAACATTTACCCCTCGGCGATTCAACTCCAGAATCCATCGTTTTTTGTCTCGTTTTTACAGTTTCATTTGTACTGATTAAAATGTTTTCTATCCTACTTTTACAGCACTGTCTCGTTTCATTTTTTTCTCCCCTCCCCCTAGAATGTGCGGTGAGATTTCTCCACTCACTCCGGTTACCTCCCGCATGGAAAATACCCAACAAAGATTGGCCAAATATTTTAATGTGGACCCCCTCTTGAGAAAGTCTGGACACTCACTGAGGCTTTCCTGAATAATTAATCAATATTAGCAATTGCCAATCCACTGCGGGATGGATGGAGGTCTCTCTAAGTCGCCACCATCCAATGTTCCGCCTAAACGGCCAATTTCACAACTCCATCTCTCTTTAGTGGACATACTCTCAGGCGCATTTGCTCCCTTGGCTGCCACTGCGGTATTATTCCTGACCATCAGCCATCATCCATTCTAACGATATTACCTGCCCAAGCCACATACTTTTCTTAATAGAATTATGATGATGTCATTACTCTGCGTGTTTTATGGAATGCGTGAAGTTCCTTTTTCGGTTTCGGTGAAATTTCATACCTGTGTCTGCCCATGGTTCTTTGCACAGGACAGTGCTTGTGCCTTTTTCTTTTAATGGCAATGTTTCTGAACCATAATGTCATATATTTGAAAATCATTATGAGATAATGTCCTGGATAAAAGAACCATAATGTCATATATTTGAAAAGCATTGAGATACTGTCCTGGACAAATAAATGGCACAAAACGGTAGGACTTTCTTGGATAAATGATATAATTATTTGGCTCTACGTATTAATAAAACTCTCTAAAATATTGCCCGAAAAATTGGCCCTTAATTAATGTATTGTAGTGAAATGCTTTCTAAGCCATGCCGTGACAATGGTGAAGAAGCGATGGAGAAACATCGAGAGCGAAACTCAGTGAAACTTTGGTGGCTAAAACCCTCTACTCTGGCACCACCAAAACGCACACTGCTGTATCCCACGTGGCCGAGACTAAAGTTCGTAAACCAGGGTCGTAAAACTACAACCGATAACCGTTTGCAGAATCAATTTTTGTTGGTAACCGGTAACCATTTCCGGTGGAACTTTAGGAGTGAATGCACTGATTGGGCTCCAAGGTCAAAGGTGCAGCCTTGCAGTTTCTGTCGGAAGAGGTCTCCAAGAGAGGGAGCTCTAGAGGGTACTGTATTTCGTCTACTCTTCCACGTGGATCAGGCAGCGCCTTACCATTTAAACGACTGGATAGATGGAATCGAAACGGCAATTCCCGTAACCAATTGTTGAAATCCAATGTTGCTCAACATTAAACACCACGTTTGTAAGTTTATTTTTAAACACAGTTTTTATTGATATAAATGTATACACAGAGTACGGGGGAAAATCGTTAACCGTTTTTTTGTCAATGGGAATGAGAAAAAAATATGTTAACAATCAGTCGTAACTTGTCTAGCGGTGTGTGTGGGGAAGGTGAAGGGTGGGGGGGGGGAAAACCCTCTAATCTGACATGAGTGTCCGGAATGGGTTACATATCCGATCTCGCGCATGCGCGTACGACTCGCCTGATTGGAGAGGGGGGGGTAGGAAGGGAGAGATTAGGGAGAGGGTGGGGAGAGCGACAGGGTGAAGAGAGGGGCAGCGTGGGGAGAGGGTGGGGGGAGAGGGGGTGAAGTGGGCGTGGCCTCAGACTATAAAAGCGCGGTGCCTTCGGTTCCGGGGCCACACTGAGCACGCGCACTGCACGTGCTGTGCTCAGTAGCTTCGGCTCAAGTCTCTGTGTGTGTGTGTGTGTAATACGCAAGCACGTAGGATATATATTTCTGTTTAAATAATATACACATGAAGTTAGACAGACATGTACGCATAGACACGCTCATAATTTAGGTTAAAACATACATTAAGACATTACATGCGTTGATAAATTGAGACGAATCAGGATTAGACTGCTTTTAATACCTTGTAGAGTACATTTACATTGCTTCAACACATGCAGACCAGGCGTTTATGCAATACTTTGTGGATGTGTAAAACTGCACACTGTTAGTCGGTATATCCATACACATTGGTAATAATAAGAGGTGCATTAAAACATCGATTAAATAATTTAAGTGAACGTATAGGGGGGATTTGTTAGCTGATTAAAACAACCACTACACATTTATACACATTTGAGCCGATGCTATTAGATCCGTGTTTCAGCATACAGGACATTGGAAGACTGCTTGCTGAAACGAAAGTAGATAAGTGCTGGCAATAGTGATCTTGCTGTTTATAAACTACTGTTGGCCGCTGGGATATCGGAATACTCTACTCACCACTGATACTAAAAGGGGCAGTGTTAGACCGTGTAATAGTCTAACACCGTGTAATAGTCTAACACCGCTGTTACTAAGGAGATAAACTGTACACATCATACACCAATTGACCGTAGGTTATAGCTGCGCAATCGAACCACTGCTGCCAATCGGAGTAAGCTGGCGAGCATCGCATCTATCCCTGCTGGCGGCGGGGTGTAGTGCAGTGTATTCCCAAAGACGAGCAGTATAGCAGCAGACAGAGCCCTGCCCGGTGTCTAGGTAGTTGGGTGCAGGTGATACCTTCGTGAGCGCTTGTGCCCGGGGCTAGCAATGGGGCTGTTGTCCCAGGGCTCCCCGCTCAGCTGGGCCGACACCAAGAAGCATGCGGACCACGTGCGGGAACACGGAGTGCGACAATTCATCAACATCTACAACCGGCTCAAGGAGCGTCAGGGAGACGTGCTCAAGTGGGGCGACGAGGTGGGTCCCGTGTGTTGTCATCGGCAATCGTCGGTGGTAGTCGTAGTGTCGATATCACCCCCGGGTGACCTCCCCGGCGCGCTGGCCGGGTGGAAGGTGACCCGGCGCGGCAGGCCGGTCAGGCAAGAGAGGGATGTGCGGGTTTGTGTACAGGCCGCGGGCGCCTCGTTTGGACGGAGATGAATGGAGCCGTGGGGAGGAAGGGCATTGGGGGGGGTGGGAGAGTTTGAGACGACAACAACGACGACGTTGTACGTGGAGAAGTGAGAGCGAGGCGGTGGGGGAGAGACTCTGAGCGAGAGAGACTGAGAGAATGTGACGAAGATGTACAGATAGCGTGAGACGAGCATGTGTGGCGGGCGAGGGGGTGGGATGTTGAGACTGGCTGGAGAGACGAGGGGGACACACGGAGAGAGATTGGAGTGAGACGAGGCAGAGATGCGGTGACAGACGAAGCAGGTGTGCTCGTACCCGCAGACAGAGACGGGAAGACGGGTGCGAGACACGGAAGATGGGTTAGATATGCCGAGTGAGAGACCGATCGATATAGGTTCGTACAGAGACGAAAGCAGATAAAAAGATGGGCAAATATTTAGTTGGGCTGGTGGTGGTGTTGTACTCTAAAGAAGTGGTGATGCTGTGACGTTACTCACGTTGCACGTGGGAAACTGAGGCCAGCCACGTGCCAAGCGAATGAAGTTGCAGTACCGTGGATGTTGTTGCGGCTGTCGAACGCGACTGGTCAGTGAGTCGTGGGTGGGCGGCGATTGAGCAGCGTCTGCGTGTGCCCACAACGTCCTTTGAACGTGACCTGACCGTCCGCAGTCTCTTGTAGACAGCCAGCAAAACGTGTGTTTGAATGCGCTCACCGTACCGCGTGGGGCAATATGAATGGTTCCTGTAATTTAAACAACTCTCCTCTCCCCACCCACAATGTCGCCCCTGGGTGGCCTGGGTGGCCTGGGTGGCCCCCACCCCTGGGTGGCCCCCCATTCACCCCCCAGTCACCCCCCACCCACGTAACCCCCCATTCACCCCCCACCCACGTAACCCCCCATTCACCCCCCACCCACGTAACCCCCCAGTCACCCCCCACCCACGTAACCCCCCATTCACCCCCCACCCACGTAACCCCCCAGTCACCTCCAGTCACCCCCCACCCACGTAACCCCCCAGTCACCCCCACCCACGTAACCCCCCAGTCACCCCCACCCACGTAACCCCCCAGTCACCCCCCACCCACGTAACCCCCCAGTCACCCCCCAGTCACCCCCCACCCACGTAACCCCCCAGTCACCCCCAGTCACCCCCAGTCACCCCCCACCCACGTAACCCCCCAGTCACCCCCCACCCACGTAACCCCCCAGTCACCCCCCACCCACGTAACCCCCCAGTCACCCCCCACCCACGTAACCCCCCAGTCACCCCCCACCCACGTAACCCCCCAGTCACCCCCACCCACGTAACCCCCCAGTCACCCCCCAGTCACCCCCCACCCACGTAACCCCCCAGTCACCCCCCAGTCACCCCCCACCCACGTAACCCCCCATTCACCCCCCACCCACGTAACCCCCCAGTCACCCCCCACCCACGTAACCCCCCATTCACCCCCCACCCACGTAACCCCCCAGTCACCCCCCCACCCACGTAACCCCCCAGTCACCCACCACCCACGTAACCCCCCAGTCACCCCCCACCCACGTAACCCCCCAGTCACCCCCCAGTCACCCCCCACCCACGTAACCCCCCATTCACCCCCCACCCACGTAACCCCCCATTCACCCCCCACCCACGTAACCCCCCAGTCACCCCCCACCCACGTAACCCCCCAGTCACCCCCCCACCCACGTAACCCCCCAGTCACCCACCACCCACGTAACCCCCCAGTCACCCCCCACCCACGTAACCCCCCAGTCACCCCCCCACCCACGTAACCCCCCAGTCACCCCCCACCCACGTAACCCCCCAGTCACCCCCCACCCACGTAACCCCCCATTCACCCCCCACCCACGTAACCCCCCAGTCACCCCCCCACCCACGTAACCCCCCAGTCACCCCCCACCCACGTAACCCCCCAGTCACCCCCCACCCACGTAACCCCCCAGTCACCCCCCCACCCACGTAACCCCCCATTCACCCCCCACCCACGTAACCCCCCAGTCACCCCCCCCCCACCCACGTAACCCCCCAGTCACCCCCCACCCACGTAACCCCCCAGTCACCCCCCACCCACGTAACCCCCCAGTCACCCCCAGTCACCCCCCACCCACGTAACCCCCAGTCACCCCCCACCCACGTAACCCCCCGCCCACGTAACCCCCCAGTCACCCCCCACCCACGTAACCCCCCAGTCACCTCCAGTCACCCCCCACCCACGTAACCCCCCAGTCACCCCCCCACCCACGTCACCCCCACCCACGTCACCCCCCAGTCACCCCCCACCCACGTCACCCCCACCCACGTCACCCCCCAGTCACCCCCCACCCACGTCACCCCCCAGTCACCCCCCCCCCCCAGACGCTCCCCCACTCGGGGGGCCGACCACCCACGCGCCCCATAGGCACGTGGGTGGCTTGACGAACATTTAGAATATAAACGTAGTCGGAATTCGTTGGTAATACATCATTGTACCTCGCACTCTTGTCTCTATACTGCCGTCAATTCCCATACATGCCCTTGTGTGTGTACAAAAATCTTCAATAAAATACTTTGCGTGCGGAGGGCGGTGTAGTCAGACTAGCACCGTCCGTGATTGTGCGTGGGATGCACGGTTTTGTATTTTTGTGGTTAATTGCTCTCAATCTCGACGACTGGCTCGGTTGTAAACCTCACGGCATGTGCACATTACTGTCAACGAAGTCCTTGAACACGTGCTGCAATTGTTGGGATTTACCTGCTAGAATAAAATAGTTTCTGTTTGTGATTTGTTTACCTTTTCTATACTTTGATATGAATTAGTAATTGACACCTTTGTCAGTGACGCACACAAACCACCCTATTAATTTAGAAACGCACAGCGTTAAACGTGTGGTTGAAGGTCGTCACCTGTTGACAGGTTGGTCACAGTTTAGCTTAAATCGTGTTCAGTTTAAACATTATCTTATACCTACGTGACTTTACCGAAAGAACCAAGCAGTATGGATCCCTGCAGTCACGAACGCTTCAAATCAAGATTGAAACAAATTGCTGTATAATAAGCCACCGACAATATCTGGCTACTTATTTGCAAAGTGCTTCTGCAGCCAAAAGCAGGTGTAAGAAAGGTACGTTTGGTTTAAAATGCATTACGCAATCAGAATTACGTGTACTAGTCCATATCACGTTTGCATAACTTGACTTGACAGGTTTTCTGAATGATGTACAGCTCCTCAATGACTTAACCACCAACTTATCGTGTTTATGAATTTTGAGTGTTTTCATTTCTCCTTTCATACAATGGTACACTGACGAGCCTGGTGAAGTATGTGGTCAAACAATCCGGTCAATGACGCGGCATGGGGAAGCCTTCATCCAGTAATGTACAGTCATGTTTACATTGCTGTTTTAGTCACGTAGGTTGACTGGAAATTGCCTTTTCACATTTCTTTATTACGGTAATCAATCGGTGCTTACATTTGCCATGCTTGTTTTGTTTTAGTTTGCTAGCTGGCTTTCCATATCCTGGTCGTTTCTAACTATGCAATAATGTACATCAATGTATGGTATGCAGTTACTTTATTGCCAGTGTACTATAGGGCACGTAGAAATTCAGTTTTTTATTGCCCAATATAATTTGCGGGTTACTAGAGATGAAAAAAAAGTTGTAATCCACAGGACAGTATTAGCAAATACTGCATGCTACAGTCGAATAGTGTAGACCTCGACATAGGCGTTGCTTGGCACAATTGTAACAATACATTTTTGTTTTACAGCGATGACAATGTGGCCTTCGTGTTAATAGCCTTCTGAATATTGGATCTGAGTAAGCGGAGGAAAATAAATCAACATTGTTTCACTTGATTCCTGAAAATACCATGAATATTAATGCCCTTGCCTTGGCATGTTTTCATTAATATTTAATTGGCATTGTCAGAAAAAAGTACTGTATACGTACAAATGCGTATCATACGGATGGAATGCTTATGAGAGAAAACAAAAATAAAGGTAATCAATTACTGTGCATAATGGTAATGCAAGGTGCTAAATATCTATCGAAAATTATCAATTTGGTTCTCTCAAAATCCCCAGCAGATGGAAAGTGCCCTTCATACATTCTGTTTGTTGCAGGCTATATCTAAAGTGTGTTTGCACGTATTCATTGAAAGAACATTTGCCTTGCTGTTCACCATCGTTTTGAGATCCCGTTAATTTTCACACCTTTAATGGGAATGCGCTAATTAATTGTCTTTTTCTCCCTCTTCACCGCCGTCCCCCTTGCGTGTGTACGTTTCAGGTGGAGTACATTCTCGTGGCGTTTGACCACAGTGCTCAGAGGGCACGCGTTTTGCTTAAAGGGGAAGACGTAGTGGAAACTCTGCAAGCCCTTGGCGAGAATGTTAATCCGAAGTGAGTTTCTTACCCTTTGCTTTGTGAAAGGGTGATTTCGTCAGTGATGGTTTTTACGCAATTAACGTGTTAAAACATGCAAGGTGGCCAGCTTTTAAGTCGAATTTCGAAACAGCTGACATTACACTGTTCAATGCGTGGTAATAAAAGCGTAGAAGTAGTTATGTTGCTAATGAACAATTAAGTTGTGGACTACTTTAATCAATACCCATTTTTCATTGAAACGTGTATTCTGAATATGCGTTGCTTTAAATATTTAAAACATTTGGAGTGTACATAATAGCATCGGCTAATGATTATTAACATGTCTATATTTAGATAAGAAATACTGTGAATGCAAGTGTATTATAAACTGTAAGAAGATACACTATCTTTTTCATTCAATGTTAATAGCTGTTTTTTTGCATTTCCAACTTCATTTGGATCAAGCGTGTGATGATTGCATAGGTTCGAATGCTCCAATTGTCTGCATGTGCTTCCATTCTGTGCCTCTTCTGTAGTCACATCCAATGCTCTCCTATCTCATTCCACCGCATCCTTCCATCCTCACCGTGCAGTGTCCTGCTGCCTTCTGCGCCGGCATCTCTGCGAATCCAACTGCTGCCATAGTCGAAGTGAACTGATGTGTAAATATACTTAGTTCTTTCGGTAAAGTCACGTAGGTAAAAAATGAAATTAAAATTAATAAAAATAAAACAAAAATCACGACGTTTCGGAGGCAACACAAGTCTCCGTCATCAGGTGGGACCGTCACAGTCAAATTTGCTGCATCTGTGACGGTCCCACCTGATGACGGAGACTTGTGTTGCCTCCGAAACGTCGTGATTTTTATTGTTTTATTTTTATTAATTTCATTTTTTACCTACGTGACTTTACCGAAAGAACTAAGAGTATGAATCCTTGCAGTCACGAAAGCTTCAAATCTAGAATTGATGTGTAAATGTTCCCGCGTTAGCCACCCGTCGCTGTGGCGCCCCGAGTACGGCAGCTACATGGTGGAAGGCACCCCAGGGCAGCCGTACGGATGCACCATGGCCGACTTCAACACCGTCGAATCGAACATGAGGCTACGCCGCAAGGAGGTGCTCGCACAGCTGCGGGGCAATGAGACCATCTTCTCCATCACCACCTTCCCCAGGTCAGCGTCGGTGTCATCCGAGTGGCAGTGCTGAGACGAGGGACAGTAATAAATTATGCATGTTATTTGGTGATGCTGCTGCGTTTTGGCAGGGGTGTACAAGCACAACGTCAACACATTTGTCAATCTTTACTTGAAGCTTTTGCGACTGCAGGAATTACTCTTTAGTTCTTTCGGTAAAGTCGCGTAGAAAGAAAAGAAAATAAATACGACGTTTCGATTGCAACACAAGCAGCCGTCATCGGGTATGAATGAATGCAAGCTCTCCGTGACTTTGCAATCGAAACGTCGTATTCTATTATTTATTTTCTTTTTTTTCTACGTGACTTTACCGAAAGAACCAAAGAGTACATTTGTCAATAGCACTGCCTTCAAAGAAACAGTTTATGCAGCAATACCTCGATATAAGAAGTAGATGCATTCCTGGCGCTTCGTTCGTGCATTGAACTTCCTAAATAAATATTGAAATGCATGTAAAATTGGTACTACGAGAATGCATTTCCAGCCTTCATAACTTACTATTTCATACTATAAACACGTAACTTATCATTCGTTTTGTAAATGAAAGACAATTTATATTTAACAAAAATATATTTAATATTGTACAGTACTAAAATAAATAAATAAACTTACATAAAAGCAGTGAAGAAACATGATTTTCTTCTTATTTATATAGTACTGTAGATCGATTTATTAATTTCAGTGTCTTTTGTTTTACTAAATTTGTTGCTTTCTGTGTAAAACTATAAATATTCAAAGGTTTGTTCTACCGAAACGTTGTTTTTTGAATGTATGTACATTTAGGTATTACTGTAATAAGAAGAGCCATTGCCTGACACATTGCCTATCATCCATAACGTAGGTTTTTGGGGTTATATTGTTAAACCCGCCACAACCTGACAGTCAATTAGCAAGGTTCGTCACGTAAACAGAACGTGCCAATTCGTTACTAGTACACAAGCACACCGGTGTGTTGGAGCGTAAACCCACAATATCCACAATTCGAGTACGACGTTTCGACAGTAATTGCAACTGGCATCCTCAGGCAACAGCCAGATTTGTGGAGAAATGCTCCTGTTTCGTTCTTAAATTGAGGGATAAATGTGATGTCGTCACTTGAGCCAATCGGGTGTGAAGGCCGGAGGGGGCGGGTGGGTTAACGAATGCATAAATTACAATGGGTATCCATTACCGGTTGGGTTATTCGTCGGGTAATGAGCGTACATTATGCATGCACGTTATGCAAGCACATTGTGACTATACATCCTGATGTTTTTTGCATGTTGTCTGCTCACAGTTAATCACCGTCGACATAGGCATGCAGTTAAACAATGTATTACCTGATGATTCGCTTCCAAACAGCACAGCCTGTAGCTATCCGAATGGTTACAATCATTTTTATTTCTCAAAATGTCGATATATTCTCTAATCTTGGCCAGTAGTAACTAGTTTGCACAGAACTTCAACATCAAAATCATTTAAGAGTCCTTGTTGGCACGCGTTGTTCTGCCGCTGTCAACAGCTTTATTTGGGATTGTTTAATATTCCTTTGGTGTTCTTTTATTCTCATGCTGATCATTCGTCCTGTCTGACCAACTTGGCATTGGTAGCAAGTGCAATTAATCTGGTACACACCTTATCTTGATAGCTTCGGTAATACATCTTTAGTACCAGAGATTAGTTTCTGTATTTTATGTCCCGTGCTAAATCTGACTCGGATATTTTGTTTTTCTAAATCTGGCTAGTTCATCAGTTGCTCTCACAATGTACGGCATTTTAATAGTTTTAATTGCTTGGTCAACTACAACATGGGACATTTATGGCAATAAAACAGGTGTTAAGACGTTAATACACCAAACGGAAACCTTTTGCAAGGAATCATGTCTGCATTAACCACACGCACTTTTGGTGAACATGCAAACAAAACATGCTCTGATAATATATGCATTGTTTTGTAAGCGTATTTTTCTACACCAGAGACGGCCTTCTTTCAGGCCTAGTCTCACCAGTATCAGACCAGAGAGTGCCAAAAGGCTAGGCCCTAAAGAAGACTGTCTGGTGTAGGCCAGAAAGGATAGAACTGTTCTTCTATTATGCTTGGTCAGTTTCAACGCTTGCTCCGTTTGATTTGGTTTTGGCATTCAATGCCCTGTTAATTTGTGCATCATTATAACCGTCCAATCGCCATCTGACACTTTCTTAGCCAAATTGACTTGTATACATATTCTTAGGTTTTTTTCGGTAAAGTCACGTAGGTAAAAAAATTTAAATTTAAATTAATAAAAGTAAAATAAAAACAATAAAAATCACGACGTTTCGGTTGCCTCTGAAACGTCGTGATTTTTATTTTGACTTTACCGAAACAACCTAAGAATATGAATCCTTGCAGTCACGAAAGCTTCAAATCTAGAATGACTTGTATACCTTTTATGGTTTTAAAAGGTATATAGTAGGCAATGTGGCCCTTCTTCCACAGTGAGTCTAAGGCTTTAAAGGTATATACTTTTTTACTGCCCTGTTAGTGTCTGTCTTAGTCACACAACGCATATAAAAATGAACCTTTGAGACAACCCTATGCGCCAAAAATGTGTGTTTTCAAGTTCAGATTGCAGTGTATTTTGTGTTGGTGCAGACTTGGCTGTCCTGGATTCACGGTGCCTGAGTTTGAGCCCAAGCAAGATGAAGCGGGCGCTTCCAAGTCCCTCTTTTTCCCTGACCAAGCCATCAACAAGCATCCCAGGTTTAGGTAAGGATTGTGACCGATTTCCTGGGCATTACCTTAATTGGTGATGAGTCAGTCTTCCAACATTTAAATAATTTAGACGCATAAATTTCGATTTAAAGCTTTCATGACTGCAGGGATTCATCTTCTTGGTTCTTTCGGTAAAGTTACGTAGAAGGGAAATAATAAAATTGTAAAAATAAAACATAGTAAAATACAATTCTCACGACGTTTCGGCCACAACCGCAAGCAGCCGTCCTTGGGTGAAGAACAGGGCTGTCGGAAAGACAGCGTCTGAATGATTCTGAATGATTCAGACGCTGTCTTTCCGACAGACCTGTTTTTCACCTGATGACGGCTGCTTGCGTTGTGGCCGAAACGTCGTGAATTATTTTATAATGTTTTATTTTTATTATTTTATTATTTCCCTTCTACGTGACTTTACCAAAAGAACCAAGAAAATTTAGATGCACTTAATTTGCATGTTTATACGTTTTTATTGGGATGCTGATGTGGTGTAATGGTCGGCACACTGGACTTGCTAACCAGGGGTCACTGGTTGATTCTCCTCGCGCTGCAGTTGAAATGATCAGCTGGTTTATAAAATTCCCTCCCCCACTTCTGTTCATTCCAGCAGTATAAAAGGTTACACCATAGTCAGTTGATCAGCATGTGGTTGGCCAAGTATGAATACTGCCACCTCTTTCAAGACGTCCATCCAGTGTGGACGAGTATTCTAGTTACCCTTACTCTAAGGGCTCTCCCTCTAGTGCAGGCCTGTCTGCATGCAGTGGCATGAGCAGGGTGTTGCAGGGCTGCACCTTTATCCTTTTTTTTACATTTTACGTAACATTTAATCCTTACAAGAATGTGCCTCCTGTGAATAATTTTGCCTTATTTTAATCGCTTGCAGTGCTAATTATGGTAATAAGACTTTGTCCTTTTCTAAATTCTGTGCTCAACAGTACGCTGACAAGAAACATTCGACACAGACGTGGAGAAAAAGTTGTGATAAATGTCCCAAGTAGGTATTTAAGGTATTTTATTCTCCAACAGACTGAAAATTATTGAAGTAACCTTTAATGTCAAAAAGTGATTTCACGATTGAATAATGTGGCCGTTCGAATTCTAAATATAGGAATGAATCCATAACGTTAAAATGCTAAATGTGTCAAGTACATGATTTTTTGGAACCGTGGTGAATGGCCTGTATGGCAAAGTGGTCTGAAACTTTTCCGTGTAACTCTTGGCTGAAAGTGTTCTGCGAGTCTGGCAGCTAAGTGTTATGGGTTATTTTAGTATACAAAGCATTAGTTTGTTTTTATCCCAAGTGGAATGGAGTGAGAAAACGCAAACCTCAGAAAGCTGGACAGTAATAATTAATTATCCAATAGCACACGTACAGATCTTTACATAAAGCGCCACTATAAAGTACTGAAAATGTAAGTTAAAATATCTATCACCCTTTTTCTCCATGTATTAAAGGTATTATTGATTTGTAAAAAAAAAAAAAATTCAAGCGAAGCCAGCCCAACCTCTCGTGAACGTAACAATGAAACTCGAAAGAGAAAAACAATCGATGCATGGGTTGCGCTTGTGAATAGTTGTGAATGGGCCAACATATCTCTCATTGCAATCTAATGGAAAAAGGTCAGCATCTTGCACGATATTTTTTTCCCGTGAACTTCACTCATTGATTCTTCAACCGTTGTTAAGGACTTTCTTTCGTCTCAACTATACTGTCTTCAACTACCACACTGCAGGTCGCAACACATCTTTCTGCCTCACCCCCCCCCCCCCCCCCCTGTCATCTTTATCGCAAAGTTCTTTTCACCTTGTTCAATTCAAGAAGTATTAATTATCTCTTACACCACCTTAATAGTGCTGTTGTTGGCCGCTTGGCATGTTGCTCCTTTTGGGGCTGTGTTGAGCAACTGATATAAAAAATAGTAATAATAATTTGAGCGTAATTCACTGTTTCAGGTGCACAGCTCGTGCCGAGGGATCTTCCTAATCGGTCTTTGTTCGGTCTTCTAATGGCAGTTTTCAAGGACAAAAAGACTCCATCGCCGTTTGTTGACCACTTCCCAAACGACGATGGCGAAGCGGCGCGTGCGGCCAAACCCAACCACATCTACATGGACGCGATGGGCTTCGGCATGGGCAACTGTTGTCTGCAGGTACCACTGTCTCGTCCACCTGTGGTTGAAACTAACTCCTGGCAGATGCACGATTTAAATCTTGGGTTAGATCTGATCTGTTTGGCATTCCACGGCTATCACGACGGCGTTTCTAACATGTTGCGCAACACTAAATATTTTCCGACGGCGACGCGTGCCTATTGCTGACGTTACTTTATGGGCAACTGCAAATGCACCTTGGCGGAGTAGTTCAGGTCACTTTTACTGTCAAATGGCACCTTTTTAGAGGTCCGTCACCGTTAACAGTCTTGAGAGCGCGTGTGTATGCATTTTCCTTGGAATGAAGTCAGGGTTTGTCAATTCGGCCTATCTCTCATTGCCCAAAACTGTACGGTTTGGAATTGCTGAATTCGTACACGTGTCATTGTTGAATTCATGTTTTGTTTTATATTTTAAAGTAGCAGCAAAGTAGGCTTAAACCGTGCTCATGTTTTACTTTAATCTTCGCAGGTAACATTCCAGGCATGCAGCATAGCAGAAGCGAGGTATTTGTATGACCAGCTGGCACCTCTCTGCCCCATCATGGTGAGTGATGTATAATATTATGTAACCGTTCATATACCTACAGCTACCAATTATGCAATAAAGTCACCTAGAGACAATCACTGTTTCCATTACAAAGCACTTACAGCCCTATTGTTAATCCACTGCTAGATTAGGGTATTCCCATGCAAGTCAATGTGGATTATTGAAGGCGGGAGCATAGAAATTTGCGCATAGTACAGTACAATGATGGATTTTGTTGCACTACCCTCTTATGGCAATATCGGCAGTCTACGACACCTGTTATATGCATACTGGTCACCCATCCAAGCACTATTCCAGACTCTAACCTGCTTTTATGAAGAGCTCTGAGATGGGGGACATATTACGGGTGATTTCATCAGAAGCAACAAGTGTGAGACCTCATTTATTTTAACCGACATTTTCGAAACTCTACTCTTTTCCAAAATTATTGTTTATTTTTAGCAGCCGCTTCTGTTATCATTCCGATCCATTCTCTGTACAGTAGCTTTCCAATGATGATGATGTATAAATGGATAAAATCTATCGCATGTAGCATATGTTGACTGAAAACATATTTGCAGTTGGGATGGCATTTAGTTGGCAATATATGTAACTTATACGTTTTTTATTTTGTTTGTGAGGAGTATAGATTTTATCGGAAGGACATGAAAATAAATATATATTGGAATCTGTAAACCACACTTGTTTGAATCGAAGAGTTTTAGTAGAAATATGGTTAACAACATACCTAGCATCATTTAGCTCTTATACTATTTAAACCCATCTTGTTCACATATTCAGATACATCTAGAACGGAAGACATGATGTGTGGCAGAAAATAATACGTTTCTCGTGTGTGGACTCTGAGATTATCTATGGCTCTGTGAGATGTCCTTTGGCTCTGAGATGTTCGACGGCTATGAGATGATCTCCGCCTCTGTGAGATGATCTACGGCTCTGTGAGATGTCCTTTGGCTCTGAGATGTCCTTTGGCTCTGTGAGATGATCTCCACCTCTGTGAGATGATCTCCACCTCTGTGAGATGATCTTCTCCTCTGCGGCTCGTGGGAGTGTCTGCCGTGCCGCCTCTGCTCCCTGTGTTTGTTTAGCAATTCTCACTCCCGCACCCCAATCCCACACAGATGGCTCTCAGCGCTGCTGCCCCGTTCTATCGGGGCTATGTGTCGGACGTCGACTGCCGGTGGGGCGTCATCTCGGCCTCGGTTGATGACCGCACGCGAGAGGAGAGAGGCCTGGAGGTGTGACACAATGCGCCATCTTAATTTCATTGATAATTAAAGTGGCGTTCATTTTGTTTCTCCAGGAGGCCCTCATAGACTTTCGAGACTATTATTATTGAGGGTCTGGAAAATATTTTTGAATGCTCCATGTTTCCCCATTCTTACAATAATCATGCTGTTGGCATCACGAGGCGAAGAATCAATTTGGAACTCTCACATAGCAGTGCATTGCCCCATGTGTTGTTGGCCCACTGAAGGAGATAAATAGAGCTACATAAGAGATCTCTTCAGTGACCTTTGTCCACGCACAAGGTGGTGCAGCCCTGCGACATGAAAATGTTCTTGGTGTGGCAGTCGAACAGACTGTTTTAAAACTGTCGGCACTAGAATTTGACCAAATTAAGTGCACAGTCACTGGTAACCAGGCTGAGGTCAGTAGCTCGCTACACATTGATAATCTTGTTTAATCATGGGCGGTGGCTCTATGAACACGGGATGCTCGGCAGCGAGAGCTCAGTAATGTGACTCCTTAGCCAACCCAGTGCCCTCCTTAAAAATCATCATAGTTTTACATTTAGCAGAAATTGGATGTGAAAAAAAATCCCCAGCTAGAGATCACACTAAAAAAATAAGTATGTTAACATCATAAATGAATTGTCTAGAAAGCACCAACTAGCGTGCGATCTATTTTCTCTAGTTTCAGGTAATTTGTCCGTTGAATTATTCTGCACCGTTCCTGGTAATGGATGCTGAGGCCTTGCAAAATGTGGTTGTGGTTCGATTGCGTTTTTAAGACGTGTCTGACCAGCGTGAAAGAGCAAGCCCAAGATACCCGAAACAAGGGGCTCTATAGGGCAGTCTCGAGTGGAGGTCCCTCTGCTAGCAGTGACGTGAGCAAGTCCTTGCAGTCTGCCCCCTTGACTTCTTTTTACCTTTAGGACTTTGTATAAAAAGTGATTTATGGCCAGTAACATACAATGGCGTTATCTTGGGGTGCGGGGGGGGGGGAACGATCTTTTTTTAAGTAAACGAAGGTTCACCTAAGGTGGTTTATGCATCTCAGCCCTTGATATTTTATTAGGAACCTTTTAAGATCGTTAACTGTAACGAAAATAATCCAGTGCTGTCGACCCTGCTGTTAAATGCCACAGATTTGTAATTGTTGCAGTTGACTCGCATTGTTGTTGAAGCTTCTTTGGCAGCACTTGTGTTTCATTAACCATTTTATGAACCCTCGTATCTTATTGATACGGAACTCCCTACCCCAATATGAGCCTCTCGAATGTATGTGGTGAGACGCCTTGTATCAATGCGCAGTCTTAAATCAAACTTTACTGATATCGCACAGTCTTTACCTTGGGAATGTCACCACTGGCAAATAACTCAAACCGTTGAAATGTTTTAATGCCGAACACATTTGGACCGTTTATTTGTGGAAACAAGGCTTTAACGACCTTTAAAATGTGTATTCAGGAAGTATATGTCACTCGTTGCAGTCGGTTTTAAAAGCTTTATGGGGAATTCTTTCCAATTGTCGAAAGCTTTTTAAATGTTTGAAAGTTGTTACGGGCCTTATTAAGTGCAGCATTGTAAAACGCTTTAATGGTCCAAAAATGGCAGCGTACGTGCAACATCAAAGTCGGCGGGGACAGTTCGACATTCGCGCTCGCCTTGTTGATTTTGTTGTTGTTGTTTTGCAGCCCCTAAAAACGTGCAAGTTCCGCATCAGCAAATCGCGTTACGACTCCATCGACAGCTACCTCTCCCAGTGCGGCGCGAAGTACAACGACATCGAGCTGACCAAGGATGAGGCTGTTTACCAGCAGCTGCTAGATGCTGGTAAGACTTGGCAAAGCAATAGTGGAGCTGCACCAGGACCATAACTTAAACACTGATAGCCTTTTGCAATCGGATTGTGCTGCGATTCAACAGCAGCAGCTGAGAAGCATGTTGCTGGTTTTGCAGTGAGGTACAGTGGTTTAATGTTTGTTTTTTTCCCCCTGAAATTCGAATGCAATCGCTTGAGACGCACCTGAGATTTACAATGCAGCAGAAGCTAAGGAGATTTGCTTCGCGAATATAAGGGCTGTTACATTTAACTTCTTTTTTACACCATGGATCTTTGTTGCGTAAAATAGTCTTAAGTAATTCATCATTCCGCTTACAGGTTGTGAAAATGTCCAAGAAGTTTGTTTTAACTGCCCATTCTCTGCAGTGAGTTTCCATTTGTTAACATTGCATTTCAAGCGATTGAAAGTCTCCAACTTGTACAATATCAACATGAAGATTCCAAAATAAGCACTTCGCACAAGCGTTTAGAGCAGTGTTCTGCCACATTACCTACATTCTATACACAACTACCACTAAAGTTATGCATAGATTCCTTAAGGCTTTACATTACTCCTTTGTCCGAGGAAGCATTTAATTTGTCACGAAAATTTGACATTCCGTGCCATAAACCAGACTGTCACGCAGCGCATGACACCAAGAGATGACTCCACATATAATGACGTCATCGGGATGGAAGGCCTGTGCACATGGCATTTCGGTGGCGGGATGTTAACTACCTCGCCTGGTATGCAGGAGGTCGTGGGTTCGATCCCAACCCTTAACACCTGTATATTTGGGAGTTTGCTTGTTCTCCCTGTGGTCGCGTGGATATTTGTCTGGGTCATTCGTGAGGAGGAATCGAACTCGGGTCGCCGGGTTCGTAGCGCAGCACGCTAACCGCTACGCTACCGCTCCCCACTTACATACACAGACTGACAGCTAATGCAGGAACGCTTTGCAACCTTGGTCGAAACGCATTCAAGTGGATGCTGTATCATCGTTGTGACTTCCTGCAAGGAAAATAAAGTAAAGGTGAAGCATTGTGTGTGTGTGTGTTGTGGACTCACTCCTTCATTAATTCTCTCTCCGTGTTGCCGACAGGCATCGACCACCTGCTCGCTCAGCACATTGCCCACCTGTTCATCCGGGATCCCCTCACCCTGTTTGAGGAGAAGATTTACCTCGATGATGAGCACGAGTCCGACCACTTTGAGGTACCGCTGCCCTGACCAGCTCATTGTAACTACTTATATACAGCTTAAAGTCGGATGCTGAGTTATCGCATTAAGTTATCCTCCTACGATAAAAAGTAATCTCCACATCGAGTTTCCTGGCTGGCTGCTGGCTGGGTTCCTCTCCACCCCAAACAGTAACTCGGTTGTTGTTCATGGCTGCTTGCCGTTTCCACCTAAACTAGCTGGGTAACTGGCTAAATGGGATTGTACGTTGAGCCAACATTGAGTTGAATTTAAACGGCGTAAGAAGTTCAGAAGACGTTTAATAAATAACAGATCGCGATACCGAAGAGGTGGTGAGTAACGAATACAAAAACTTGACACGATTTCTTTAAAATTTCTCAACTTAAATTTTGTTGCTCATATTAATGCCATTCTTTTTCCAGACTATTCTTTAAGTCCTAGAGAATAGATATTTTTTAACCTCGATACATTTTACCTTGCCATTTTACCACGTAAAACAGCGGAATAATCTTCGTGTTCAGAGTACAGGAAGATTGTGAGAAGAGCGTGAGTGTGACGGCTCTCATTTTTCTGTTGCAGATCAACTTATTCTCTCCTAGCGATAATAATAATATGCTCCTGCTAAGTCCATTGGCGGGTGAAAGCCTCACAATGCCATGTTGGTTGGGAGGGGTTCTTTGACCAGTGTGTGGGTCGGTTAAGGGGGTGGCGAGGGGGGGCACCTAACACCAGTTCGGATATCATCCACCGCTGGTGTTATCGGTTTTGTGGCGCAGTGCATTAATCATTATACCACCACTCTAGCCCATCGCAATAAATGACCGAGCTTTACGTAATGCACCTGGCTTCCAGTTGTTGGTGGCGAATGATTGTAAAGTCTACACATTAACGGGGACTGAGTACTTGTGGAAACACTGAACTAAACTTGCCGTGGGATAATGATGGGGATAATTTTTTTATGTATAGGAATATCATAAAGAATTGCACATTAAACACGCTTACGGAATTGATTTGTGATCTAAGCCGATTTCATCGCATGTGTTGCAGAACATTCAGTCGACAAACTGGCAGACCATGCGATTCAAGCCACCGCCGCCAAACTCTACAATTGGGTGGCGTGTGGAGTTCCGACCATCGGAGGTAAATTACTCTCACTCGAGTGCATTCTCATTTCGTGTATGCGGAGCGGCAGTGCAGCGGTCGACACGCTGCGCTACGAACCCGCCGACCCGAGTTCGATTCACGCTCACGGCCAACTTTGGTGACAATTATTTGAAGCTGTCCTGGGCGGTTCCCCCTTGGTTGACTCAGCCTCAATTGTGTACCTCGTGCGGTGTGTAAACATCGCCACTGGGGGAACGAAGGCGATCGAACGTGGTGCTGGCCACCCACCCCTTCGTTTGTCGTCTTGGCCTTCATTGGTGCTCTCCATCAACACTTTCCCCAAAAGTATGTCGAGGCTAAAAGGGGGATCTTTGTCCTTTATAACCAGGGCAATCTTGGATTAATCGCAATTCTTTTGATGCTTTGTAATAGCAGTCGTGCTTATGTGAGTAACGTATATCCGATAACAACTTTTGTGCAGCATTTAAATCATCGTAAGATTAAGTTTACTTATTATTTTAAGCTTTTTAACGCTTTGATTCTAAGCTTGTAAGCGTTTATGCATTAGATATTTTCATCTCTACCATGAGGACAGGGGCACTATAACAATGGCAAAGTCGATCCCAAATGAGAAAATCTGTTGTAAAATGTTTTCTTGTTCTTCTTGAAAACTCACCAGTTTCATCCGAATTCCCCAAAAGTTGAAAATTCGTTGCAAATACACATTAATGTTGCCCTGTTAGCTTCCTTATCGCTGATTAAATACTCCGGAAGACAAAACTCTTGCTGGAAAGCGTTCTATAATCCACGCGTGTGCAATTCTTACACACGTGATTTTTCCCAAATCTGTTTTAATTAAGCTGCGTGATCAATGCACGAAGATAAACACGCGGGGGGGGGGGGGTGGTGGTGTTTTTAACACAGGCACAACTCACGGACTTTGAAAACTCGGCCTACGTGGTGTTTGTGGTGCTGCTCACGCGCGTTATTCTATCCTACAACCTCAACTTCCTCATCCCACTCTCAAAGGTGATGTCTGCCCTGTCCCATTGACTCCTGTCGCCGGCGAAAGTGAATTGTTCTTTGAGCGTTGCGTAGATCGTTTGTCGTTCCTGAGATGATACCGGGTGCAGATTGGCGTGAAAAATTCTTATTTTTCCTTTCAACGGGCGAATTGCACGTGGTGTCCAAATACCTATTTTGAGAATTCTATACTGTACAAGATAAAATTCAAACGAACTTAATGTTCACTGTATTTAAACGTCATGATTTCTGTGTATATGTACGTAAACAAAGTAGAATAATAAACAAGCCAGCATTAGCAATGTCAAAAATAAATCATCAGCAGTTTGCATGCAATGATTTTAAACTGCTTTAAGACAACTGACTGCACGTTAAATCTATGTTGTCTTCCTCCCATATTAAGGAAGTAATATTTCCCGATAAATGTGCATACCTGAGAAACAACATTAAACAAAATGGCGTGAGAAAGTGCATTTTTAAGCATCCCAGACATTTGCAATGATTCAAACGCGAGGAACTAATGATGTCTCCTAAATATAGCCGTGGCACCGAGTGAAACTGGTCCTTCTGTGAAACAGGTCGATGAAAATATGAAGAAGGCGCAGAAGAGGGATGCAGTACGCCAGGAAATGTTTTACTTCAGAAAGGACATTGGGGCAGGCAAGTGTGAATCATTCTAGTCAAATACCTGTCGAGCACATGTTTCTCTCAATGTCTCATCATCATGTTTTGATGGATTTTTATGTCATTGAAGCTTCGAGTTTTTCCTTTTTTTTTTTTCCCCTCTCCATTTAACATCCAGTGTGTAACCCAGCACTGGACAGCTGTCCACCCTGTGCCAACGGAACAGATTCCCAGGATGAGTCGTATATACTCATGAGTGTCGACACGATCATCAACGGAAAGGTGAGAGGCTCGTAGATGACCGACTGAGAACAACAGTTCTGTTTCGTCGGAACGCAACGTTCGCTTAACACAACATTCTTTTGAGCATTAATGCCGTTAACCCCTGTGAAAATGACGTACCAATGTTCTCTGTTTAACAACTTATTTGTCGATGCTGCTTCTAGCACAACCAGTGGTGCCACAATACACAAACTCGACACATTCCTCAATAACACTGTGGCCATTAAAGGAAAATATATAATAGGTGACGTTTCGGGCAATGACCCTTCTTCACAACGCATACACTTATGCAAAAGTACAATTGCCTGAAACGTTTCCTATTTTATATATATATTTTACGCCCACCATGTTATTGGCAAATGAGCTGAGTTTGTGTTTCTACAATGTTCTCTGTGAAAGCTGCTAAAAGTATTAACTTAAAACCTCCTAACATAGCATGACCTTGTGCGTTTCACAAAAGCATGTAATGTACTGTAGCGTAGTTTTATCTGCTATGCACTTTGAACGGATGCCGTGCTTGGGTAAATAATTAAATCTGGAGCCAAGTGCCATATGGTGCGGTGTTACTTTGCGCGCGCGCGCGTGTGTGTGTATGTGCGTGTGTGCAGGAGGGGGTTTTCCCTGGCCTCATCCCCATCATCAACAGCTACCTCGAGAATATGGAAGTGGATGTGGAGACACGATGCAGCATTTACAACTACCTAAGGCTTATCCGCAAGCGGGCATCAGGCAAGTTCACGTTAGCAGCATCTCTCCCCTTTGTGCAGGCAGCCTGCAAGACTTAGTCTAGGCACACATGGCTATCGATTAACTGCAAGGCAATTGGACAATTGTAAATAATTTATCTTCTCATATTCAAGGAATCCTGGGTGACGGGGTTAATGCCATTTCTATTTGACGAAAGCAGTTGCTGTAATTCTGTTTCCTCATTGCAGGCGGAAAGGGAAAGGTAGGAGAGGGGGGGGCGGTGGTGCTCATAACGGATGAGCTATATTGAGTGCCATTTACTGTGCGGGAATGCAATGTCACTAACGGCTGCCACTTCCATTGGGTGCTCTGCTCCCCCGCAGGCGAGCTGATGACGATGGCGCGGTGGCTGCGCGAGTTTGTGGGCGCTCACCCCGAGTACAGGCACGACAGCGTCATCACTGATCGCATTAACTATGACCTGCTTGTACATTGCGACGACATTGCGCGCGGAAAGGCGGACTGCCCGGAGCTCTTCGACAAGCCCATTCACAAGCCTCCTGAGCACAGCTAAAGGTGTTTCTCATGCTGCAGGCCAGTGAATCTGAACTGTGTAAATGCCAAAAGCCCCTTTCCTCTCTCATTAAGTGTCAAACTAACCCTGTGTGTAATCATGACCAAGCTTGTTTCGTCATCTATTGAAATTGTATTTACAACGCCGATATAAACAATGCAGGGAAAAACACGAGTAAATATTTGTTGATGCCATCGTACATTATTATTATTATTTCACCTCCTAAGGTCTTACAGTTTAAAATAGAAATGGGAGGGATGATGTGGCAAGTGGCAACTACTTTTTTTTTACGAGCAGATCATGTTGCTTTGAACTGGCCTGGTTGAAACTACGTACGCATTTTTACGCTGAACCCATTTGCGACTGACACAATTCTATTCTTCCTTACACCTCGATTGCCTATGGAAAAAAATCGTCTGTTGTTTGCTCACAGTAGCTCTGACTTTGCTCAGGTCTGGGGAAACATACGCTACTTGTTTTATCTATGCCACTCGCAACAGAAGCACAGTGAGATTGTTCTTGTCATGGCAAGTTTACTGATTGATGGCAATTTAACATGAATTAGCACTTTTGTTGGTTCATTCCTGATTATGACCAATATTCTGGCAATGCACATCTGATCCATTGACTGCCTCCCACCATGTATGATGCATGCTGTCAACTGTAGCGGCCGAACTGCAGAAGAATGTCTGCTTATCCCACTAATTGGTAAAATAATTGCATTTACACTTAAGGGGGGGGGAGGCTGAGTTTTTTTATGATTACACAAGTGGAAAGTGTATAATGTCCTTTTAGTGAAAATCTATGGCAGGGTTTATGTAAAATATATCATTTGAAATACAGTGCTGTCCGTTTGATCATGCCCCCAATGTGTGTTTTTTTTATCAAAATATTATAGTTTCAAGGAACATGTAAAAAAAACTAAATCACTAAATGATGACATTTTGATGTTTATGGTAATAGGTTGGCGGAGGTCAGAACATTCTGAGCTGGCACCGCTACGATGCTGGCTTCTAATATGTGCAACCACCGCTGATAAAACTGGGATATCAAGTGTGTCGTGAGTTGATCATCTCAGTCCAGTCACCAGTAACTGCAAAAATAAAACGTGAAACTGTGGTTCGGCACTTAATGTGGATAAATTACAGCTCTGACAACAATTATATGTTGTCATGAGTTGCTATTGCTCGTGACAGGACGAGTAAGAATGTGCTGCCCCCCCTGACTTGTGTGCAACAGAGGTGACTTGAATTGACGTCAGAGGTAGCTCTGTGAGATCCGCTTACGTGGGTCTTGCATACAAAGGAGTGCACTGTAACATAACGCCGATAGCACAATTGGGATAATATTGAGTTAACAGAATTTATAAAAATAACTTATTGTACGTGGTTGTATTTTTCCCCCCACTTAGAAAAGTAGTTTGCATCTAAGCTCGAAATACAGGCGTTGTCATTGGGGTTTTGAATTATGTTGATCACAGCCCTAAGTTTGGTTCTACCTGTGAGTATAAACTGTTATTCCTCCTACTGCTCATGGAATATGGATGGGGTGCATCATGTTGCCAGCTTGTTTTTCCGTGTTCGCTATCACCATGGGCTGCAGATAAAGGGAAACTGACATCTTTCCTACCATTAACATTGAAAGCGTTGTACTTGTTGATGTTTGCTTACAAAAGGCCATGGTTAGGTTTTTGCATTATTACCACTCCCATTTGCTGCCTTAGTATTACTATGGTGGCCACCTTGCCCTGTCGTAATCTTGTTAGCTAAACAAAAAGATAAATCTGCAGTTAGCATTGCTAGTAGAATGTTTTAATAAAAAAAGTACCTCGCTGTCGAATGTATCTTTTGTGGGATTTTTTTATCCATTAAAATTCTAAATGCATAGAGTACACTTTCATCTTTATATTTTATGTTGGGAAAGAAAATACAGTTTAGCGAAATCCCACAGTGAGTAATTGTGAATGAATTGTTCAAGTAGAGTAGCAGGTCGCATATCTGACTTGCTCGGGGTCCAAGGTTAAAGGCGGGCCACGTGAATTCACATCCATAAAATGAGTTGCACCCTTCACGCATAGGTCGCTGAACAAGAATGTTGTGCAAACAGCGTTAAACATGGTCAAATCCTGCACCGTGCTTCAGAAGTGAGCGTGCATACTGTTCGATTAAGAATACATAACTGGATGGGAACGGAGCAGATTTGTGAACGTCTATAGTTAATAATGACAAGTGTCCACAATTATCAATTGCATGTGGCCGGTTACTTGGTCAGGACGGATGTACGATGTACTGCACATAATATTTGTCGTTAACCTTTTAAAATGTAGTGTTTTCCCCAAACGAAGGCAACGGAAAACAACGCGCATTAGGCCATTGGTGGGTATACCCTTTGACTTGCAATAATAGTCGCGATAAAAGCAATGCATTTTCTACCAATGCTTCGAAAGATTCACGGTGCAAGTGGGCCAGACATTCTTCAGTCTGTCGGCTGACTGCATACAATCACGAGTTGTGGCGTTTATTTTACAAGGACCATATAGAAGAGCATATCATGGGTTTATTATATGGTGTAGTTTGTTTGACTTTGTACATATTCAAGTTGTAGACAGCCGCTGTGATAAGTTTGCCGATGTTAATTTTTTATAAAGATGTAAATTAATCCTGGATTTAGTCGGGTTTTCATTAACTTGTGTGATCCTGAGTTTGACTGATAACATGTCGATTAATAACATTGCAACCTCTGTGGAATTGTCCAAAATCTGCATGTCCTTTGGATGCTTAATTGTGCAAGCAACTGTAATGTGGTTTAATTATGACTGCTTGCTTACAGTTTTGCCTTGTAAATTTAGCAAAACTACAACTGATGCTAAAACACTGTAAACATTCGTCAGATGCACCACTTTGAAGACGAGTTGAAGTCATGAGCTTTGCCAAAATATTAATCTCCCAACATTCCTCGTTACGAAATGTGTGAATAGGTTAATGGACGTGAATTTTCACTTTGTCTTTTTTTTACCTACATGAGTTGCTCACGTGCATATCCCCCCCCCCCCCCCCCACATTATTTCAGTCCGGACCTGTCAAATTCTCAATTTGTGTGAGATTAAGATGTTCAGACTCTTTCGTGTTGCTGTTGTTGTTGTGCCCTGGTTGTCCTACGCCTAATAGTTTTCCTCAAATAATACTTTGCGGCATGTGATTAAAATTGCACTGAAATATACGTAGCTGCTTTGAATCAAACGTTGTAGGGGAGGGGGGGTGGTGGGCTGAAATTAGGTTACTTTAAAAAAAATTCCCACAGTTTTGCTTATTTACTTTGTGGTGTAAATTGTGCAATTAGTAAAATCCAGACCTGTTGTGATAACCGAGACGATACTAAGAGTTGATTTCAAAATTATGAATATTGAATGCTGCAGAAAAATAAATAACCCCCTAAAATGTTTATACCCATGCTGTTCTGCTTATTGCTGCTTGGTTGGCGAATGTTCCTGGATACATACTTTCTTTTATTCCCCCCATTGTTACACGAGCCGGCACAAAGTGCGCGCTCACATCGCAGATGCTTTTCCACCGGCGATTTGCCGTGCCGAGCCGGAACCAAACTGATGTCCTGGTCTCGCAATACAAGCAGAGCCAAGATGCACGGCCAATGACGACGCCGTTCGTCATTGTGTGATCCTGAGTTTGACTGATAACATATCGATTAATAACATTGCAACCTCTGTGGAATTGTCCAAAATCGGTCATGACACACTTTGAGGACCACGGCATCACCCGCGTGCATTTTAACTTGTTTATTGTGACGTCGGTGGCACGGCTTTGCTTCCGCAGTGGGAAAAACAGTCCGCCGCATGGGGCCCCGGCACAGCCGCCCAGCGCGTCTTCATTCGTACGCTCTCTTGATTTGAAGCTTTCGTGACTGCAGGAATCCATACTCTTTGGTTATTTCGGTAAGTCACGTAGGTAGAAAATAAAATAGATCACGACGTTTCGGGCGCAACACAAGCGTCCGTAATCAGGTGCTTGTGTTGCGCCCGAAACGTCGTGATCTATTTTATTTTATACCTACGTGACTTTGCCGAAAGAACCAAAGAGTTAATTCGTACGGTGGAAACGATGATGTCGGTATCAAATTTTGTAGCAAGTTTTCACGTAATGCCATGAAATGCTCTCGTGCCAGTGTGGGAGGGTGGCTTGTGCGGCTGCTGGTTATTTGTACGTTACCAGCATTGTTCAAAAGAAGTGACTGCTGACTGACGGGCCCCACCATTAGTGGGGGGGAGGGGTACGAGACGAGTCTTTGCAACTCCTCTCCCTACAGATTCTTATCCAAGCGTGGGACCAGCTTTTCGTCCTAATCGCATAACTTCATGGGATTCAAATTCATGAAATATTAACGGGGGCGCACCGTTTCCGTCGTGTTTGTCTAGGTCAGGGGTCGGCAACCTACGGCTCCGGAGCCGCATGCGGCTCTTTACGGGCTGCTTCTTGACGATATGTACGTATGTACAGTATGTACTCAGATGCATTGCGGCTCTTGAAATACTGAATTTTGTACCGAATTGGAAAGAAATGGCTCTTCTTGTTATTTTGGTTGCCGACCCCTGGTCTAGGTTAAAGGGGGGAGGGGGTTTGTGGTTATGTTAGCTGGCTGTGTTTGAGTGACGGGAATTGATTTGGACCGATATCTCGTGGCGATCTTGTGTTGAACTTTATTGCAGCACACACTGCAGTGTTGACACGTGTGTACGTTGAACTTTATTTTGCACCGTACTTAGCCAACCCTGCTTATAGGGGGTGCGAACCTAGACTGACTGAGATGTGTCTGTGCTTGGTCTGTGTAAAAGGTATAAAACCCTATTAGGGGTTATGGGTTGGGTGTTGAAGCTTAAGGGTAGGTGTTAAGGACATTGGTAATTAAGACTGATTTTTTTTCTCCCCAATATCTGTGGTTGATGGTAGTCGCATCGGTGTTAAAATAAAGACGTTCTTGTATTCTAGACTTGAAGTTTCGTGACTGCAAGGAATCATATTCTTAGGTGTTTTCGGTAAAGTCACGTAGGTAAAACATCAAAATTAATAATTTATTAATTTTTATGTTTTACCTACGTGACTTTACCGAAAACACCTAAGAATACGTTCTTGCATATTTTTGCAGTATTGGTGGCAGATTTTGACTGCGTACTGCTACATTGTGGTTCATGTAGCAAATATAACATTCTTGCAAAGTAACATTCTCGTACAGATCTTTTATTGTATTTGTATTCTAGATACAATTGTCGTGTAAAACGGTTTAATGTCATGAAAAATCAGAATACGTTTTACCCTTTCTGGCAATAAAACAGGTGTTAAGATGTTCAATTAACAAATAGAAACATTTTGCAAGGAATCATGTCTGCATTAACCACACGTACCTGTGGTGAACGTGCAAAAATACATGCTCTGATAATATATTTGAGGCATTGTTTTTTAAACGGATTGGCCTACACCAGACAGCCTTATTCAAGGCCGAGTCTCACCGGGGTCAGACCAGAGAACGCCAAAAGTCGAGGCGCTAAAGAAGGTTGCCTCTGGTGTAGACCAATCCGTTTCAAGGACACTGCAAATATTATTAGAGCATGTTCTTGTTTGCTTGTTCACCACAAGTATGTGTGGTTAATCTTGCAAAAGGTTTCTATTTGGTGTTTGAACATCTCAACACCTGTTTTATTGCCAGAAAGGGTAAAACCTATTCTGATTTTTTCATACTTTGATACTGGTAAAAAAGGGTCAAATTTTGAAGGTTTACTGTCAGCAGGGGACCCAGTCCCCCAGAGGTGAGAGACGTGGCGGGGCTGTGAGCTGTGTGAGACGGTGGTGCCCCCTCTCGCCCGCCTGTGTGTCCGTGCGCTGTTGATGTCACGAGTGGTGGGGAGCGGTGGTGGAGCGGTTAGCGCGCTGCGCTCCGAAGCTGACAATCCGGGGGAAACCCGGGTTCGATTCCCGCTCACGGCCACCAACACCACCAGTGACGATTATCTGAACCGGTTCTGGGCCTCCCCTCGGTCGACTCGGCCTCAAATGAGTACCTGGTGTGGTGTGTAGTAAAACATCCCACTGGAGAGACAAAGGCGGCCGGGCGTGGTGCTGGCCACCCACCCCCTCGTGTGCCGTTCTGCCCTTCATAGTTGCTTGCTAACAGCACTTGCCCCAACAGTCTGTTAAAGGCTACACGGGGGGTCTTTGTCTTTGTGAGTGGTGTTTAAGTCCTCGATGCAAATCCCTACAATTTGGGGCGGTGGGGGGTGGTGGTCTGCTCCCGCGGTGTGATGGGCATCACGTTGGACAAGCGATCCAGATAACCTCCCTGCGTTACAGTAGACATTCCCCTCTCCACGTAGCGGGTCTTTGAATGGGTAAACGTGAAGCAGAGAGAGTTGGTGGATATGCAGGTTACGTGCGTGCGGGGTGGTAAAGTGTGAGTACTGCCACCTGTAACAAGACTTCTCGCCAACGTGGATTGTGTAGACCAAATACCTGCGTCTCGTGGAGGCCTCTAGCAGTGGAGTGAGCAAGTACTCTAATTATTTTTGACAACAAAACAATGCCCGCGTGCTCAGACCTGCAACCATCATTTCACTGGTGGAGATTTGCGATTCTGCCACTCGTTCGTAGTTAATCTGCATATAAAACAAAAACGACTTTATTATATTGAGACATTGACATTTCTCCCCGAAATTTTCCGTGGATTCGACGTAAGTATGTTGGAATTTCTTTCCCACCGTACGTAGCCAAGCTCGCTGATCGGAGGTGCGGGGTGGGGTGAGGGACAACAAAACGTACCTAACGACAACAACAACAACAAACCAGGAGCGGTGAGATGGATTACTCTGTGTGTGCTGGGTGCAACAACACTCATCCGGGTCGTCGACCGGGCCCTATCGGGCTGAAATAAATCTCTGGCTTTAAGTCTAGACTGTAAGATATTTTATACACAAACTCACGCGGTTTATCCGTATTCTTGTACAGGAAAATTGAGGTTTCATGTCCATGCGGCGTACAGATGTCTGTGTTTCTCCCTTGTGATGGGACTTTATAGGATGAGCGCTGAGATTTATATGGGCACGGGGTGACCAATGATGTTTGAATTGGTCATAAGGTGATAAGGGGTTAACAGGTGTGATACACAGCCACAACACATACAAGCCTTCGGCATTAGCCCATCCCTGTTCTCTCATGATTATTTCCCCAATCAGTTTATTTTTCAGAATGTGGTTACATCCATCAATCTTTGAAAATGCTGCCACTTTGTGGTCAGATTTTGTATTGCGAACCGAACACTGGTTTTCACTAAGTTTATGCAGAGTGGTGGATACAGTATTGGCATTTAGACTTAGGGAACACGTTATTAACTGCTTTGGAGTATCGAATGAAAAATAACTCGATATTATCCAAGGTGTATTTGAATGAAAATGTCGATGTAAACCAAAACATTCGGAACGAATTTGGAGTTTACGTGTCTCTCTCATCATCATCACGGTGGCTAGGAGATGTTAACCACCTCCTGGTTCAGCCGCACCACTTCTACATAACAAAGGCTCAGTCAACCATTCTACACAACAAAGACTCATTTCCTGGCAGCGATTTCAGCCGCATCATCTCTACATTACAAAAGGCTCAGCCCCATTTACACGCACCTTTACATCATCCGCACCTAGTTTACACAACAAAGGCTCATTCCTAACAGCGTGCTTCAGCCGCACCGAACCTCACAAAAACAATGGCCTACATTGGCTCCTCCCACCCTCAACCAGTATATATACAAGGACTGTTTTCTTGGAATTTCTCTCACTTGATACAGCAGTCGTGCTGTGACGGTTCCACTTACTTGATACAGCTGTCGTGCTGTGACGGTTCCACCTGAAGACGGAAGCTTGTGTTGCCTCCGAAACGTCGTGATTTTTATTTAATTGTTATTTTACTTTTATACATTTTTATTCAAATTTTTCACCTACGTGACGTTACCGAAAAAAACCTAAGAATATGGTACACAGGAGGTCGTGGGTTCGATCTCGACCCTGTCGACGCCTGCTGCTGTATATTTGGAGTTTGCGTGCCTCTCTCTCCGTGATCGTGTGGGTTTTTCTCCGGGCCCTCCGGTTTGCCCCTCCACATTTCACATCAACGCGTTTCGAGTTTATTTGTTTGAGTCCAGGACTCTTCTGACCCCGGGAGCTTGCGTCTCGTGTGCCACTAGGGGGCGACGCGACCGTGAGCCGAGCACAGCGACCCCGAGACGCGGCTCCAGGAGGAGCAACGTGCACGGTGGGAGTGCGGCAAGGATAGTAAAGTGCGGCAGGCGGGTTTGTTTGGCTACTTGTGTTCATGTAGAGATGGAGGGGGGGACATCTAGCGGAGAGGAAGAAACAGAAGCACACGTCGAGAGACGTTTGACTTTTAAACAACTTTTATTGCCGTCAGCAGCAAAAGCACTGGAGGCGATTCCGATATGAAATAGTCACCAGCAAACAATTAAAAATAAACGCGACAAATTCACGCGCTGTGGCGCTAAAAGCATCGCGCACAACACGAAAGAACGTCTCGTGGTGGTCATCGCGCACACCACGGTGACGAGCGAGCGCTTCAGAAGGTGAACGTCGAGAGAGTGACTTTAGCCTGAACTTATATTCTTGAATCCCTGCAGTCACGAAAGCTTTAAATCACAATTTATGGGAATGTATCTTCTGTAGCTCTCACTGCTGAGGGGGGAGGCAACTCCAAATTAGACAGAGGGGGCAGCAGCGAGACGCGGGGGGGAGTGACCTCCCAACTGAACACATTGACCCAAGAATTTTGACAGGAGGCCTTGGGTTATAGTGAGGCGTTCCGTTGGTGTTTGGGGGGATACGGTTCGGGAATGCGGTTATGGTTTAGCGATGGACTAAAACGCCATGTGGCAAAGAGGAGAGGTGTTTCTCAGTCTGCAAGGGGGCCTGAATCCACGAGACCGAGTTTCAGACGCGTTCATTTTCTTCTGTGGCTGCCATAGCAATCCGATGTGCGACAATTTGTGTGTCTCGTTAAATCGTGTGCTGTATGCGTTTGTTACTGGTAGAAACCACCTCTCCCTCTCCTCCCCCTCTCTGTCTCTGATCTTATCCTCCAGGTGTCTCTTGTCTCCATCATCTCCTGACTCCCGCACCATACCTGTCTTGCATACACATTGACATGTTAATGCATCCACCACTTACATGTAAATCACCCACCTTGTTTGAGAGAAGCGTTGTTCCATGTCCACGTGGATATTTTTATTGTCTTCTCCGCTGAGGTTGGGATTTGAACCCAGGGACTTCCAACTCCACATTGCCGGTCTGCTGCTGCAAGGCGCACAGCCACTGCGCTCCCCGCAAGTGCCATGGGGTTTCGGGTGGTGTAGTGATTGCAGTGCACGCGTGTGGCCCTGCAAATGGGGTGTGCGTGATGATGTCGCCACCAAAAGTTGGAAATTAAATAAAAATGACAAGTAGGGGTTTGAACTCGGCCCACCTGCGTTGAGGCACTGCAAGTACTACCCACTGCACCAGGTTAGCTTTTGGCTGAGTGTAATCTTCTGGCTATTAAGTAGTTGTAAATTTTAACATTGATGTCGAACCCTTCCACTTGTTTATATTTTTTAAAAATGTTAACTGGAAATAAAATGTGTACTCTCAATTGCAAATGTAGCCATGTGATTTTATTTAATTTAAAAAAATGCTGGATTCGAACCTAGAACTCCCGGCTCCACAGCCTCTCATCAACCCACACTGCCACCTTCTCGTTGGCAAAGCTGTAGACAGATCAGGGATGAGACATTGAAAGAGCATTCCATGTTTTTCATGGAACCATCGATATATCCGACATGTTATCGGATAAATAACATCGCTGTTTTTTCAGTAATTTCGATGTTTAGATTTTTTTTGTTATTTACAGGAAAGGGCAATATAAATATTCAAAAGCGATGCTCTAATAAAATGTATTTTAAAAATGTAATCACAAAAATGGGACAAATTCTCATCATCCGATAGCTGTTGTTTGCGGCTCAACACTCACTCAGCAGCACACTTCCATCTACTTTCCAGAATGTTCACCTGAAATCGACCTACGATTTTCACACAACGCCTGTCAACCTGTGAAGAGGCTGAGACATGACCCGCAACCCAGTCTACCACGGTCATCTCAAGCAGACAGCCGCCAAAGTCGAGACGTGCAACGACTCGCTTGGCAAGTTCATTGGCTCATCCTTCAGGATCGAGGCGGTGGTGACGGGCATCAGTGCTCCAAATCTACGGACTGACGGTCAGCACGTGCAATGTCGTCGTACTCGACGGCAGATCCCGCCGCCTGTCCGGAGCCGGGCATCCCACGTCGATCTTGTTCACACGCAGCCCGTGGGTGGAAAAAACCGATTTTTCCAGCGGCAGGCATCAGGTTTTTTCTTTAATACAATTAAACCCGATTTCGGAGAATTAAAACATGTAGGTAAAAAATTGAAACTAAAATTATTAAAAATAAACCAATAAAAATCAGGACGTTTCGGAGGCAACACAAGTCTCCGTCATCAGGTGGGACCGTCACAGCCAGATTTGATGCAGCAGATGCAGCAAATCTGGCTGTGACGGTCCCACCTGATGACGGAGACTTGTTGCCTCCGAAACGTCCTGATTTTTATTGGTTTATTTTTTATTAATTTTAATTTCATTTTTTACCTCCGTGACTTTACCGAAAGAACTAAGAGTATGAATCCTTGCAGTCACGAAAGCTTCAAATCTAGAATTAAAACCTGGTTTAATGAATACGAAACTCTGATCCAAGGCTTAGGCTGCTTCATCGTCGGTGCTGCTATCGTACTCGGGGCCGTCGGGCACGGGGTAGTCGTAGAATGCAGGCAGGTTGGTCTTGATGAACACGAGCTTCTCCACCACAATCGTGGGCGCCAGTGAGTTCCTTTGCTTGGAATGGACGACGCCCATCGTTGAGAAGTTGGCGAAGTGCGGTTCTGCAATTAGAACCAATGAAACCGGATTTCTCCCAATCGCAGATGATCGGGTTTAATATAAAAAAAGACAATTAAACCCGATTGTAAAAAACCCGACTGAGCCACCCTTGGCGCAGCCACGGGTCCCATCTCAGGATCCTCTTCCACCCACTCCGCTCCTCCTTCCCTCGGCTTGCTGTAATGGTCGAGGCGCGGCCAAGTCTTGGCGTCACGCGTCGTCTTGCAATCTTCTTTAGCAACAACAACCGCCATTCGCTACTAAGTGTCAGTGGCATTAACACGACGCTTGTGCCAAGCTATGTGCACCTTGAGGCCACGTGAAGTGTCGAACGCCCGCTGGCAGGTCACGGGGCAGACCCAGGTGCCACGGGTCGACCGACTGAGATGGCTGAGATGACTGGCTGATGCACCGCCTGTGCCCCCTACTTTAGCCCACATATACGCACCCCTTTGCGAAAACCAGACCCTTTGCTGCCCGTCTGTCAATAGGGGGGCGCCCCCCCTAAACCACGTACCAACGAGCTGCGCTGCCAGGAGGTGCATCAGCAGAGTCATTGCGGAGCGATTTGGCGGGGGGGGGGCTCCTCTCACGACGTCCAAACGGAGCCCGTTCTTTTCGTGGACGATCCCACGATCAGCCCCGCCTGGTTTTGTTCCATCTCAGGAACCGTGGGCGAGGCCCCCCTGGTCAACAGGTTTCCGAACCGGCCCACAGTCTCCTGCGCGCAGCAAAACTTCCTGCCCGCTGGGGGCTCCTCGCGATAACCAGAACTGTGGTGCATGGCAGATGATGTCGAGCATTTCTGTCGAAGACTGCGTCTGCTAGCCAAACCCAGCTGCGCCCTGAGCTCGACGTCGCCGCATTACACAAATGACGAAGCTCTGCTGTCTGGCTCGGAGGACCCGGAGAGAAATCCACTCGGTCGTGGGGAGAACACGCAAACTCCAAATATGCAGCAGGCGTCGGGGTCGGGATCGAAACTCATGAACTCCTGCATACCAGGCGAGGTAGTTAATATCTCCTAGTCGCCGTGACACCCACAGCCGTTACCCCACGGAAGCTCCATCGTGCCATTGCTCGTATTAATAGGTGCTCGCTAACAGCACTTGCTGTTACACTTTGTTATGTTTTCACGGGAGGTGATCTTTGTGCGTCGGATTGTATTTTTCCCGATAAAAATATTTTTTGAGTGAATGATGTGAACATTGTTGAAAAATGTATGAAACAGAATCCCGAATTTCATATTGTATCGTTTTATTACACAAACTGGCGAAATATGTTATATTGATGGAAAAAGACTGGTAAAATAAATTATATTGTGTTTGCTATATACAATAGTGTACACAGTCAAAATGCAAGTGACCAGGAATGAGTATGCTGATTTACAGTTAGTGGTTTTACAATATTACTAAAACAAATATTCAGGCTATGAAATAGAGTGGCGAGGCATTTTCCTGTTGAATGACAATGCTGTCTGCTCTACGCTTTACCAACCACACGCCGCAAAACTGCATAACACGAAAACAGGAGGTTCTATATATATATTTCTTCATAGTAATAACTTACAGCCGTTCGTAAATCCACTGCTGGATGAAGGCCTCCCCACTCCATATCGGTAATGGGCATCCTTCAATTCTCGTTGGTGGAGGGGGCGGCCTGAACCAGTTTGACACTGATGATAAGACGTGGCCAGGAATCAAACTCGGGTCGCCAGGTTCATGCAAAGCGGTCAGAATGGTCTTGGGCCACTTCGATAATAATCCATTCATAATTATCCATTCATGAGTAATGAATAAAACAGAACAGACATCACCTCACAGTCGGATAGCTGCCCCACCACTGCAAATGGAACAGAATGCAAACACTTTGTCATTAACGTTGCAGACTATATACCCTTATCGTGTTTTACGCTCGTGAAAATGTAAAGTTTTTTTAAATGAAATTTCGATTCTGAAATGTTTCCCACAGTACCGCTGAATATGATTGCAGATTCGGCAGTTTTTTTCTATCGGTGAATGTAAACCAGGAAGGCGAAGGTTTGCAAGAAAACAGCCATCAAGAAATTTACAACTTTTTTACCATTCAATTGCTCCCCTGCTTGCACAGCCCACAGATGCCATTCACGAGCGTCAGGTTGTGGTCTGGCGCACGGCTCGTAAAAAAAATAACCTTCCCTAAGTAGGCTCATTTACACGTCAACATGATTATGAATTTTCAGTAAAAAAAACACCAATTTTAATTCAAATAAATGACGTTTTTATTTGAGGAACTTTTGGCCATCAAGTGTTCTGTCAGCGTCTTTCCCCACGAATTTGCCGGTTTGACGACCAATCGGCGATTGGAGAGAGGCGTTGCCAAGGCTTCTGCGCAGAGTTTTTTCCGGTCGCACGGCGTCTTGTTGGGCACGAGCCGGGGAGCGTCCGACTCGAGTTTCTTAGGAAGCTCCCAGCACGTGGAGCAAACAAAAAAACATCCGACACATCGTGCAAAAACGTGACGCGGTACAACCCCAAAACACATCGGGGAGCACAACCACAAAAAACCTTCGGTGACTACGCGGTCTCTCTGCACACACGGGACGATGCACGTGGCGTGTCCGACCAATGGGGGGGACGATCAACTCCGTGACGGTAAAGCCGACGAGAGGCCTGGGATGGATTCGGGTAACTATGTCCCAGGACAACAGAGCAGAGAATGCACCGCCCCCCCCGCCCTCTCATCCTCCCCCTTATGTACACACATACACACGCACATGTGCACACACAAAACCCCCAACCCTCGCTTCTGGCACACACTCCCATACGCAGTTCGTATTGTTCATATTACAACGATAATATGAATAAACAGTTACATTGTTCTTCATTAAAAAAAATGTGTAAGACAAAATTGTTGTGGGCCCCTCTAGAGGGTTTTGGCCGTATAAAAATGTCCCATTTCAGCCTCCTTCGCCAAATCCGACCCTGACCGGGAGTCGGAAACACTGATGTTTGGTTTGAGATTCGCACCGAATATCGGCAAACATCGGCTTTCTCTTGGCAACTGCCTCGCCAGTGGAACATCAAACCTGCGCCTGCCCGGTTGATTGGCGGCAAGTTTATTTTATATTTCAAAAGAGAATGTGGGTCAATTTCTAGGAATCTGCAGCTGTTCTCCTGTCGAGAGCTGGAGACGAAGAGCAGTGGACATCGGTCCGTGGGGCTTCAGTGGCAGCCGCACGCGCGCACGACCATGTTGCGGTATTTCTTGAGGATGACGTTGGAGCTGTCGTCAAAATACAGCACGGAGATGGCGTTGAGTTTGGTCGGGGAGCAGCAAGGTTTGGGCACGAACTCGGGGTTCATCAGGTGAACCTGCACACAGACACAGACGAAGACAAAGATCCCCCCCATTATAGCCGATCAACAGACTGTAGGGGCAAGTGCCGTTTGGGTCAAGGGTGGCACAGTCGGGTTTAATTGTCTTTTTATATTAAACCCGATCATCTGAGATTGGGAGAAATCCGTTTTAATTGGTTCTAATTGCATAACCGCACTTCGCCAACTTCTCAACGATGGGCTTCATCCATTCCAAGCTAAGGAACTCACTGTCGCCCACGATTGTGGAGAAGCTCGTGTTCATCAAGACCAACCTGCCCGCCGCATTCTACGACTACCCCGTGCCCGACGGCCCCGAGTACGATAGCAGCACCGACGAGGAAGCAGCCTAAGCCTCTCAGAGTTTCGTATTCATTAAACCAGGTTTAAATTCCCCGAAATGGGGTTTAATTGTTTTTTCCACCCATGGCTAGCGAGCAGCACCTATGAAGGTCGGGCACGGCACACGAGGGGGTCGATGGCTAGCACCACTCCCCGCAAGCGTTGTCTCCCCAGTGGCGATGTTCACACACCGCACCGGCCGAGTCGAACTAGGGGAAGCCCCAGGAAGGGTTCCGTTAATCGTCACGGGTGTTGGTGGCCGTGAGCGGGAATCCAACTCGGGTCGCCGGGTTAGTAAGTGCTGCAGGATGTCGGTGAGAGAGCGCACACGTGTGAACACAGAGGGCACGCTACGGGCGCTGCCGTGCCAGGGAGCAGCTCGCTCGCGTACCAGTGTCTGCACGATGGCGTGGTTGGTGGCGTTCATGTGGGCGTTGAGCGGGAAGGAGCACTCCCCGTCGCAGTAGAACGCCGCGTAGCCCTCGGGCGCGATGATCCAGTCCTGTGGGGACAAGCGCGTCACATGGGCTGGTGCACAAGAGGCCGGAGGGGTGAGCAGCCGTGATCAGAAGCTAAAGGACGAGGGTCGTCCTGTTCAGGCGAGGAAAGGGCAGTGCTTGGCTCTAGGCCTTGAGCCGGCGGTGAATATTCCACATTGCTACGATGGGGGTCCGTTTTTCTTTGGAGGATATAGTATGCAGAATTCATTGTTATGGGATTGCTGTCCCAAAAAAACTATTAAATTTGTAATTCATTATTTATTAGGCTTTTGGGTGCAAATACGCACGCATGCATACATGCGTTTAATGTATAATCTCGTGAGAGGCCATTGACACGCGAGTCCCATTTACAATGGAGACCCGGGATGCAAATGTACGGTAAAAAAAAACATCTCCTCGTGGAAAAACCCTGCGGCATCTCACATCTCAAGTCAACTCCTGTTTATCCCTGGGCAGATTTTAAGGGGTCACGGATGAACCGTGGTTATGGAAATAATTCAAGGAGAACGTCTATACGAGCCCTCTGGTTTAATTGTCTGCTCCTCGTTAGTTGTGAGTCGGTGACTAATTTAGATACACTTTGCATTCTCTGTGTTCTTGTTTCATCTGGGCCACTCCACCCTGCTTCCTTGAACACAGACATCGAGAATTGGCTGTATTGGCAGTTCACCAGCATTGATTTAAGCGAGCTCACTCTGCTGATGATACATCGTATGTCGAAACTGGTCCAGAGATTTTCTTGTCTTGAATCAATGCTGCTGAAATGATGACGCTCCTAGAAGGCCGTGCGGCTGACAGCTTGTGTAAGAAATCACAGCTGTCAACACCTAGTACACTCACCACTAGTACACTCACCACTAGGATACTCACCACTACACTCACCACTAGCACACTCACCACAAGTACACTCACCACTACGTACCGGTCAACCCCTTATCAGTGCCCTACCTTATTACAAACCATTTCAGACCGTATTGGTCACCCAGTGCCCTTATGAATCTCAACGTTCATCCCACAAAGTCCCATCACAAGGGAGAAACACAAACAAATATATTGTTTTTGTGCCCATATTGAAACGGCTGTACGCCGTGTGGACCTGAAAACTCAATTTCCCTGTACAAGAATACGGGGTAAACCGTGTGGGTTGACACGGTATGACAATTATACAACGGCTGATGGATATATGAAGACGACACATTGCTTATTTACTTTGTGTTTTATAATTCACTGAAAACTCACGATTACGTCCACAAACAGCTGGGGGCGCATGTGGACCTAAGTATGCCGCAACAAAAGACAAAGATCCCCCGTATAGCATTAACAGACTATTGGGGCAAGTGCCGGCACGGCACACGAGTGGGTGGGTGGCCAGCACCACGCCCGGCCGCCTTCGTCTCCCCAGTGGCGATGTTTAAACACCGCAACAGGTATTCATTTGAGGCCGAGTCGAACTAGGGGAGGCGCAGAACCATTTCGGATCATCGTCACCGGTGTTGGCCATGAGCGGGAATCAAACTCGGGTCGCCAGGTTCTTGGCACAGCGCGCTAACCGCTACACAAGCGCTCCCCCACGTGACGCAGCACCTAGGGCGACCGACACACGCGGTAGAGAGGGTGCGCTAACACGTATGTAGTATGTACGTATGTGGAACTTCTTTCACACCGTACGTAGCCAACCGTGCTAATCAGGTCGCCGGATTCGTAGCGCAGCGCCCCAACCGTTGCGCCAAATGCTCGCGCCCACTTGCATATTATAAGACACTTGAGTGGAAACTCATCCAAAAGCCATTTCTCTTTCATTCACTCGGCGCCTTTGTGTGCCGACCCACAGCGGGGGGGTGGCGGGGGTCCCAACAGTACGAACCGCCAAGAGCCAAACAACTGGTGCGCGCGCGGACCCGCAAAACGAACGCGCATCAATAATGCAAAGAGCAATGACAACAACAACAACACACAAACAACAGCAGCGGCGACGGGGAAAAATATTTAAACGGGGAGCATGCCACCTGCCAGCCGAGGTCGCGGAAGCTGACGTAGAGTTCGTGCTTCTTGCAGGCCTGGCGCGCATCACTGGAGCCGTACTCTGCCACACACACAGACACAGGACAAAGATCCCCCCGTGTAGCCTCAACAGACCGTTGGGGCAAGTGCCGTCAGCGAGTAGATAACCCCATGAAGGACGGCACTGTGACGCACGAGGGGGTGGGATGACCAACACCACACCCCCCTTTGTCGATCCCGGTGGCGATGTTTACTACGCACCGCACCAGGTACTCAATTGAGGCCGTGTCGACCTAGGGGAGGCCCAACACCGTTTTAGATAATCGTCATTGGTGTTGGTGGCCGCGAGCGGGAATCGAACTCGGGCGACTGGGTTTGTAGCGCAGCGCGCTAACCGCTGCGCCACCGCTCCCCACGCACAGCCACACAACCGCAGGAAAGCGCGGCGAGGGCCTCGCACGGCGTCGTTGGCTATCGAGCGTACGGGGGCCGCACGCTTGAGCTAAAATAAACGTTTTGTTTTGCCAGGTAAGGGCCACTGAGCTGTGAATCTATTTTTTCAGAAGCGGCTCGGCCACAAATGATAGCTCCACCAAATGGCTCATCGTGTGGAAATGCATAGCGGCCAAAGACTCGTGACGTTGATTCTAAAATGTGGAGAGAAATTCCACACGACCACGGGGAGAGAGAGAGACACGCAAACTCCAAATATGGCGCCAGGGTCGGGATCGAACCCACGACCTCCTGTACATCAGGCGAGGTCGTCAACATCTCCGAGCCACCGTGGGCGCGCACATCTATCCATGTTTATTCATGAACCTCCAGCTGTTGTTCTCGTTTCATTGGCTACTGAAACAAGTTTGAGTCCGAGATACTAAAATTACGTAAACTCCCGTAACATATAACCCACACCACACATTATCTTCTCCCACATCGACATCAATCGGTGAAAGAAATGTCACCGCACGCAGGAGCGCCAGATTAACTCACGATTAAAGGAATTCTAAAGTAGACGTACATTAGCCGGGGGGGGTGGTGGGGGGTAAATCCGCAGGCAAGCACACACGTGCACACACACACCCCGCGACTGGCTCGCCCTTCCACAAGTCCAGACATTCCTCTACCATTCTTCCACCTGTCCACTAGGCATGAACTGTACCCAGACATGAAGGTAGCTATCCTTTAAACAATCGCCATCCCCCCTGCCCGCCCGCCCGCCCTGAATGTACCGCTTGTGTTCCCCAATCTTCCCAACACCCACCCGCTGTTTACCAAGAACCTGTCCAACTCCTTCTGCGAAGATCCAACACATCCTGACGCCTTCCGCACACAGCAGCAGCAGCCGCCACCGGGGGGGGGAGGAGCCGGCATTCCCTCGCCGCCTCCGGCTTCGTCCGAGCGTGGGCCACAGAGAGCCCCAAGGGGCCGTCGCGGCGCAACGGGCAACGCGTTCTTGACGTCGCCTGCTGCACGCCACATGCCACCTCCGTGCATGCAGGGACGTGGGGGGTGGGCGGGGGGGGGGGCTGCAGCCCGGTGTTGCTGGTGGGGGCCTTGGATCTGAAATGGCGCGCGTAAGCTCACCTGGCATGTTGGCGAGCCGCGCCGCGTCCTGGCTCTGCTGCCCGCCGTTCTTGTTCTTGTTCTGGTTGCGTCGCTTGCCCGTGGCGGCCCGGGCCACACGCACATGGACCTCGTTCTCCTTGAAGAAGGCGACGGTGAAAGGCTGCTTGTTCTGGGGGCCCATGCGCCCCACCAGCCCCGCCAGCGAGGGGTTAATGCTCTGCCCTGGGATGAAAGACGGCACGGGCACACGGGCACACGGGCACACGCACACACGCAGACGGTCCGACGTTCAAGGCCTGAGCGAGCAATGGAATTGGCCGCTGCTCAACACGGGCGGGCCACGGATGGAATCGTGGCATTGCAGAGACCATGACGGGTGGCGTCAGCTTTGGGGAGGTCTTCATCTCACGGTGGACAGACCGTGGCGTCTGACGACGATGATTATGATGATGATCACGATAAGTTAGCATCGAGCGTCAGTGGGTTACCTACGGTCCGCGACTTTCCCTTCACGAAGCCCACCGCTTCAAAACAGCCTGGAAACCCGCGTTAGTTTGTCACTGCAGGCATCTCGGCCATGGTAATTGCGATCCAGAAGGGGAATGCGTTTGACCTGCCAACACCGCGCTCGGTTACTTCTGTCGCCGCAAGATCCTCTTGCGGCAACGGAAGTGGCCAAATTGCGTGTGCTCGTGTGTGTGTGCTGTTCACATTCTTGGTCTTGGCAACGTGTCACAAAAAGAGGCGAGCGCTCCCAGCTCGCTGTTTGCGCCACCTCATCGGTACCTTGCTACGTGCCCCGAAATAGAGTTACAATTTTAATTTATACAGCGTCTCAGTGTGGCTGCAGTTCAAGGCACTGCACAGAAAGCAGCGGTTACAGTATGTTTGCTTTAGTGTTCAGCGCAATGTCAGTTTTGTTGCCTAATAAAAGGGTAAAAAAATAATTATCATAATTTTTACTGGCAAATGAGATTCCAATGATGGTTGATCAAGTTGAAATATTTCATTTCCAGAGCTTAAAGACCTGAATGAAGTAAAAAAAAAACACATTTAACGTGTTCGTTTTGCGTGCGGTGCATTGGTGACCGGGACCATCAACTCGCACCTCCGATTTCCCGCATCCTCCGATGAGCGCGGTTGGCTACGTGCGGTTGGCTACGTGCGGTGTGCGAAAGAAGTTCAACAACCGTCCGTATAACTCGCTACATGCGAGGATGCGGCGTGGTTGAAACACAGATTCTAACCCAAGAATTCTGCGGTCGCCAGAACGCGAAATTAACCGCCCTGAGCCACCTGGCCACTTCAAAGCATTGCGTACAGCGACGGGCGGGCGGTGAGGAGTGTTATCCAGTCTGTGCTTACGCAATGCGTGCACACCAGGGCCATTAACGTTACAATCCACGTTTTACTTGAAGAAAGCCTCCGGCAATGCACACCGTGACGTTTTACAGTTGACTCGATATACCCATTGGGCGGATTACCTGGATCGCGGATTAACCGTGCTCATCCATTCGTGCCTTTTAAGCATTCGCCGGTTTAGTAATGAACTTGCTCCTCACTCATCGGGGGTCCAGTGACTCAGTGCACACGTGACCGCAAACACGTCGCAATAGGCATGCCCATGGCCAGTTCTTGAGGAGCAATGAAAACAGATGACACCAGTGTGTGTCTTCACCACCCATTCTACGTAGGCAAACGATACACAGTTTACACGCGTTTTGCATGATCTGTGTTTCTATCCAGGTCACTCCCAACCCCATCATCATCATCATTTATACCGCAGCTCCCATGCTGCACACCCAGAGGCACCGCGACACAGCGGTGTTTGAGATAATCACATCACAGCGTTCCAAGCACAGTATAGACACGATACGTGATAAATGAGCATGAACAAATATGGAAAGCAAACATTTTGCTTGAGATTACTGAATTTCCCCCCAGTTAACCCAGACAACCAGGAGTGTGTGAATTTGCATAAATCCGTGTCATGATGGTTGAAATTGACGATTCACGTGGCACAAGTACAACTCTTATTATATTTCGATTTAAAGCTTTTGTGACTGCAGGGATACATCTTCTTGGTTCTTTCGGTAAAGTCACATAGAAGGGAAATAATAAAATAAACTAAATCATTTCCCTTCTACGTCGCAAGACTCTCCTTCAGGAGTGTCCTGCCAGGTGTTCGCAGTCGGGGGCGACGTTGATACTTCGTAATTCCAACTGGGTAACTTGGAAGGTACATCTTTTAAGCATTGTAGACGTGTGGCCAATGCCGTACTCCAACGCATACATTTCTTTTCAGCGAAAGGAGGAATCCCAAGAACCCTGAGGAAACCGATGCAGAACAGGCGGAGGACGGACAAACTCCACACGGAGAGGTGCCCGAGTTGGGAACCGGCATCGGGACTTTCTTGCTGCGAGGCACAGGTCACCACCCTGCAGCCCTGGCTGGGCATGCACCACCAACCCTCTGGCTGAAGCGGTGGTGAGATGTTAACTACCTCACCAGGTATACAGGAGGTCGTGGGTTTGACATCGACCCTGACGCCTGTTGTATATTTGGCGTTTGCGTGCCTCTCTCTCCCCGTGGTTGTGTGGAATTTTTTTCCGGTCCTCCGGTTTTTCCCCTCCAAATTTAGAATGAACATCACGTGTTTAGAGTAATTCGTTGAGCTATCATTTGTGGCCAGGTCGCTTCTGAAAACAGAGCTTTGAAAAACAGGGTGCTTCAAAAAATGTTAACACTTATATGTGACTATCGTTTTTAATGGGAAAAGAACGGATAACACACTGTAACATGACAACAAGTGTATGTTAATAGCTTCAAAAAGTCAAAGAGTCTCCACTTGTTCGCCACCATTGTCAACACATTGCCTGGAATTTTCTCCACGTGGTCTCAAGAGCCCGGAGGCACATTCCTCGTGGTGTCGTTGCACATTCTCAGAAGCGTTGACATTTTTTTGAAGCAACCTGTAACATAGCTCGGTGGGCCTTACCTGCAAAAAAAAATCTATATCTAGTTTGGTAAAAAAATAATTGTTTAGTTTGACAGCAGTAAGCAGGAAGCGAATGTGCCACGAGAGGGCCCACGGTGCCTACCGACGGCTGTCTCGACGCACAGCTGCAGGCCCAGGTTGTGCTGCGGCTTCTCCACCCACAGGTTGCTCGTCGCCGTGATGTCAAAGACGAGCCAGCCCTCCTCCACCGCCCAGATGACGCGGCTGTCGAGGAGCGACAGGTCGGGGTCCCTGCTCGCGATCATCGCGGCCACAGCGACAACAAGAACGCACACCGCCACGCATCACGGTCACGTTGACCTCGGCGTCACGACGACCCGGTTAGAAAAGGTCAAAGTGTAAGTGACTTCCTGGGCACAGGAGCAGTGGGGTGGGGCGGGGGGCAGGGGTTCCCCCCTTCAACTCAACCACTGCCATCGTACGTACGAATTTTATGATTGCTGTAGAGCGCACCTTGGAATAAGGCGCGATATGAATAAATATAACATGAGATATTGATCTGTCTGGAAGTTGATCAAACGGCAGCGCAGGCTATGCGGACCCAGAGGAATCGGCACAATCCCTGCGTGGAGCTGCGGCAGGGCGAGCCAAATGGCGGCGATTCCTCTCTTACGACCGCAGAGCAGCTTGGCTTCCTGCACATGGACACCATTGTTGAGATCTTGATGTTTATTTTATTTTTTTACTTGGGGGAATAGGCGAGGGCGCTCTTAATACACCGTCGGTAGATCCACGAGTGTCGATTTCTGTGGGTCCCCTATAGAACCCACCACTGAGTGTGTGGGTCCCCTACAGATTCTAGATTTGAAGCATTCGTGACTGCAAGGATTCATACTTTGTTTTTTCGGTAAAGTCACGTAGGTAAAAAATGAAATTAAAATAAATAGATCCCACCACCGAGTTTGTGGTTCCCCTATAGATCCCACCACTGAGTGTGTGGGACTCCTACAGATCCCACCACGACTCCTCTCGCGCGACCCCCTCAGCTCCACGTGCCACCACCCCTCCCCTCCACCCCCCGCTCCCCGCCCCGACCCCCACGCCGTTGCTTTTGGTTTTTGACGCAAAACAAGTGGGCGGCGAGCGAGAAGCCGGAGAAAAACGGGGAGGCAGTAAGCCACACATGTGCAAGCCATTACAGACACTCTCTCTCATGTTTGAAGCCCCCGCGTCTTCCCCAAAACCCACCCTCGCGACGTACGCGCACGCACATGCACACGCGCACAAAGACAAACAACCGCCGTATAGCCTTAACAGACTGTTGGGGCGAGTGCTGTTAGCGAGCACCTATTAAAGCCGATATGGCACTCGAGGGGGTGGGTGGCCAGCACCACGCCAGGCCGCCTCTGTCTCCCCAGTGGCGATGTTTACACACCGCACTGAGTATTCATTTGAGGCCGAGTCGACCTAAAAGAGGCCACCGTCGTTGGCCGTGAGCGGGAATCGTACGCGGGACGCCGGGTTCGTAGCGCAGCGTCGGACTGTACGCTGCACCGCCGCTCCCCACTCGCGTACGCACACACACGCACGCGTACGCACACGCACGCACACGCACACACACGCACGCGTACGCATACGCACACACACGCACGCAAATTTGTGCACACATGCACACACGCGCACACCCACGCGCACACCCACGCACACACAGTGAATCCCACCAGCGGCCGGCGCCGTGTCCCTGCGAGACATTAGGGTGCGCGCTACGCGTTGAACAAGGTAGTGTCATTAAAACGGATTCCTGATCGGGCTATGCAGGCATCAAATCGTGGGCCCGTGACCGCATTGCCGTGTGTATTACCTCTCGCAGCTGGTCAGAGCCCCTTTAAACCATTTTATATCAGAGTAGCACAGTATATAATATCGCCTCATATTTTGGGCAATGGTAACAATTGGTAACATGTTAACTTTTTTTGTGAAAACAATAATAAAACGAAACTCAAAAATAAATCGATAACAGCCCTAGAGGGGCCAGCCCCCATCAATCTCACCCCGTCTCAATTGCCCACTCCCTCCTTCTTTCCTCCCCTCGCCCCCCCACTCCATCGCGTCCCTCCCCGATAGCCCTTTCGTGACCCCCCACATGCCCTCTGTTGCCATCACTCATCCCTCGACCTTCGCGCACCCCTTGCCGTCCACACCACTCCGTTTCCGTTACCGCTTCTTATTAAACCGCGTCGGGCGTGTTCAGCCGAGGCGCTCTCTATAGACGCAAAAACGAGACGACACGGGGTAAACACACTCCGGATGTATCGACGCATCGAGCGACAGATGCGGGGCCTCGCTACGACACTCGCCTGTCCGGGTGCTCCCGGAGCACCTGGTAGATGCTGATGAGGAAGGTCTCATTCTCGTAGCGCCGCTCCGCAAAGTCCTTGTAGATGCGGAACTCGGCGGCCGTGACGGCCTCGCCATCGGGGATGCGCGACAGATCGAACTTGAACTCCTTGTAGTGCCAGCGCAGGTGCGGGAACTCCTTGTCTCGCTCCACTGGCGTGGTGGGGACGAGCCGGGGGGAGGGAGTGGGGGAGGAGGGCGGTGGATACGGACAGATATTGTTAATCGTCGCTAAATATCATCATCGTCAGCATCGTAATGTGAAGTGTCCACGGTGTCCTGTGATCCAGGGATCGAATGCAGGCAGTCGCCTCTGATTAACCCAGATTTACCAAGTGCAGCGAGTCTGAGCTAGATTATCAATTGCTGCAAAGACGAAACTTACTTTGGATAAATTTCGATTTAAAGCTTTCGTGACTGCAGGGATTCATATTCTTGGTTCTTTTGGTGAAATCACGTAGAAGGGAAATAATAAAATAATAAAAATAAAACAATAAAATTCTCACGACGTTTCGGCCACAACGCAAGCAGCCGTACACTTTGGATAAATTCCAGGTCTGAGAATTTAAAACATTGAACTGACTGCCATGTGACAAACATTACTCCCAGTAGCCGAGTGGGTGGGAAAGCACTGCCTCCGAGTGTTTAGACGAGATGTCACTCGAAGGGATCTCAGACGTGGCAGGGTGGCGGCAGCGGCAACACTTGCGCCCCACAGCAAGACGTGTCGACTCCCGACTCGCGTGCCTTTCTGTGAAAAACATTTCTCTGTTGTCCCCCTGTTACTGATGAGTCTGTTCCGGTTTCTTCAGCTTCCTCTCATAGCGAAACAAAGACAAAGATGCCCCCGTGTAGCCTTAGCAGACTGTAGGGGCAAATGCTGTTAGCAAGCACATATAAAGGCCGGCACGGCACACGAAGGGGTGGGTGGACAACACCACGCCCGGCCGCCTTTGTCTCCCTCGCGGCGATGTTTACACATCGCACCGGGTACTCATTTGAGGCTGAGTCCACCTAGGGGAAGCCCAGGATCGGTTCAGATAATCATCACTGGTATTGGCCGTGAGCGGAAATCGAACCCACGTGGCCAGGTTCATAGCGCAGCGTGCTAACCGCTACACTATCGCTCCCCACACGCACACATTGCAAATGGTATATTTTTAAACATCCCAATGCTGAAAAATTACCTACAAATTACTCGTTTGGGATTACACGCAGCAGCAGCAGCAACAACATTGCCCCCCTGCTAGAAAACTTCGCAGGACCCTCCTGAAAAAACGTTGAAACTAAGTGAGGCTTAACCGGGTCAACAAACAGAATAACAACAACACAAGCAATCTTGGTGATATCGGCATAAGTGGGGCGGTTCTCCAACGCTCAAGGGCTGCAGCGATGCTCTGTGAGACTCCGCTGGATACTTCATTTCGCGATGCGGAGAGCACAATCTTGATCTTTTTTAAATGGGGAAAGGGATCGGTGCCGAACGGGGTATCGAACTTATGCGGCCGAGTTCACCGCGCCGTTCCCTAACCGTTGTGCCACCGCTCAGTCATAAGCGTTGCCACTCGGAAGAGTTAAAAAGCGTGGCAATATTTTTTTACACGCTTTTATTTAACTCACTCTCTGTCTGTTGTTGTCGTTGTTGTCGTATCCTCAAATCTTGTAACTCAATGTTTACCCACTTCCCAATGTGGTATCGACTGCAAACTTATGTCATACTGATAACAATACTATACATATTCTATCATAAAAAATATGTTATGTTTCGGCTTGGGTCTATTGTCCACGCTCAACTGACGTTGGCTGTAATTGCCCACGGCCCCTTACGTTGTGGCAAGCTTCGGCGCCACTTCCTCGAGTCGTGGAGTTCTTCCATTACCAGTACGGTACATTTCACTAAAACGTGTTTTTAAAAAGTTTTTTTAAAATATTACTTATTTTTTTAAACATGCATTGATGACGTGACCCCCCCCACCAAAAAAAAATCATGACAATCCCATGACGTCGTGAGGCGGATGAATCATCACCGCCCTCTGAAACAGGTGTTCTGATGGAGCGCCACTAACCCACATTGTGGAATGCCACGCCTCAGTCTGAGTCACATCCTGCGACATGGTCTGAAGAGGTGAGGGCGCCCACACTTTACCCCACCACACGAGGACTGCCGGTCTAACTAACCGTGCTTCAAGAGCCGAATGGCTCACAGGGCTATACCTAATAAATGAACTTTGAACTTTGCTTCACCAATTTATCCCGCCGTGTTGGACAGTGCCTACCTAGGGGAGGGCCCAGGATGGGGGTCAGACATTTGTGACCGAGGTTTGCCGTGAGCGGGAGTCGAACTCGGGTCGCTGGGTTCGTAGCGCAGTGAGCTGATCATACACCGCTCCCCATTCCCAAACGAAGACAAAGATCCCCCGTATAGCCTTAACAGACTTTTGGAACAAGTGCTACCCACAAAATCACACATGCAAGTGTTTTAAAACATCGCTAACCCATGGCATAGGCATGTCACGTACTGTGGCTGTGGTGGATGTGAACAGCAATTTACAATGCTACAGGCCTGCCCTTAAAAAACTAAACTATTTTAACTTTACCAGATGAGGCCCACTGAGCTATATAGCTATTTTTCAGAAGTGACCTGGCCACAAATGATAGCTCAATGAAGTGGCTTACCACGTGGAATTTTATAGCAGCAAAATAATCTAAATGTGGAGGAAAAATCCACGCGACCACGGCGAGAGAGACACGCAAACTCAAAATATACGGCAGGCGTCAGGGTCGGGATCGAGCCCACGACCTCCTGCGTACCGGGCAAGGGAGATAACATCTCATCCTGGCCACCGCGGCGGCGCCCTTTGCAGGCCCATCGGTGCGGCAGAGGGCTGGCCCCTCGTCGGCACCTTCGTTCGCCACGGAAAAGACCCGAGGGGAATTCCTCGCTCCGCGGTTGCAGCTGCCCCTCTCTCCCATCGCCGCCGCCGCCGTCGGGAGAAGGGGGAGGGGGGGGCCTTTGTCTTCATTGCTCACCCCCCACGCCAACCACGGTAAAACTCCGATCGCCGCAGCCAGGGCATTAACGAGGCACTGCGTCCGCCTTCAAAAGCGCACGTGGGCCCAGCTCCACGCGCAGACTCCCTCGCTGGAGGGGGTGGGGTGAGGGGGGAAACTTGAAGGATGCACAACAAGCAGCTTGGCTCCAAGTGAATGAGCAGCAGCTGTGGTTCACACGAACGCGCGTCCGCTGGTGCGCGCCGAGCGCCTCGACCACCACCGGCCCCCCGGCTCCCCACTCCGCTCAGGCTCCCGGCCACTTCCGAGCAACCCCTACGCACAACTGCTAGCACACGATGACAAAAAAAAACCACGCTCCACATCCTTCACCTCTGCCATCTCATTACGAGGACGCCGAGTGGGAGAGATCTGCTGGGATGTTGCAGTTTCAGTGACGTGTCGAAAGTACTCCCCCCCCAAATTCCCCCTTCTCTCTCCATGGCTCAAGCTCCCTCCATCCCGTGCCGCTTCCTCTGTCTTCGACTCACAATTGAGTTCTGATTCACGACTCGGCAAATGGTGCTTGAAGTGGCATCCCATGAGCCTTCCTCAACAGTCGTGTACAGGTGCCACCACCACCATCGCCAAATGCTGTTCAGCATCACAGCCAGGCTTTAGACTAAATACAAAAAGAAACAACAACAACAGCAGCAGCAGCTCATTTGCCGAGACGTTCCACGTTACGAACAGATGTTTTTTCGGGCATCAACTAGAGACGCACACGGAGTCCGCGAATCTTTCCCAGCGCGGTCAGGTGTTGCGAACGCTGGGAGCGCGTAAACACCGCGCTGGAACGACGGGCGACGCGCATGCACGGAGCGCGCAAAACCCCCCCCCCCCCACCTCCTCGAAGCGGCAGAGGCTCGCCAAAACGCGGCACGTTTCACATCGGCGCAGAGTAAACGCTGCCCGGGTTGAGTTATGCCCATGAGAGATGAGTTTTTTGGAGAACGCTTCCCTATAAAATTGGGGTCGCGGACCCCTAACATGTGGCGCGAAGGTCTCTCCGGCGCACGCCCGCGGAGCGGCGGCACTGACGCGCGTGTGGCCGGCCGATCTTCGCTTGCGCCCGCAATCTTTTGGCCAAAATTCAAGAGCGAGCGGCGAAGGGGAAAAGGGGGGAAAAAAAGAATAAACAGTTCACCCCGGAAACATCGTGTTTTTTCTGAAAGTCGTCGACTTGTGCGGCTCCGTTTGAAAGGGGGCTTTTTTTGCCGGTGGCAAAGCAGGTCTGTTCTGCGTGCACCAAAGCTGGCTTGCATTTGCAAAGAAAATTGCCCCACAAGGCTTTCCAGATGGACGCCACACAAGCGCGCCAGCCTACGCTTCTGTCGCGAAGGCCGCGTGTCTGGAATGGCTTTTCTCAGCAGGGCTCCTACGGCTATGCATTGTTTTAGCGAAGCCACGGCTGCCAACTCCGGCGTAATGAAGGCTTTTTGTTTTCGGCAAAGCAACGCCGACCACTTGCACTTCCACAGCGAGGCAATTACCTCCCGTTTTCATCTCTGCCCCCCAGCACCCTCCGGGTACGTAACGTTTTCCCTGTGTGTGTGTGTGGCTACGTGTTCATCGGCATCAACCACGGTCAATCCACTGCTGGATAAAGGTTTCCGCCATTCTGCGAAGCATTAATCCAGCCAGCGACTGCACAAGAACCGAATTCATCGCTCCATCTCCACGGAGGTTGGCCTCACGGATGGGTTCCGCTCCTTGGCTGCCACTCTGTAATTCTTCCTGGCCACCGGACATCGTCCAATCGAGCGACGTGTCCTGTCGTAGCCGGCCAACTTTTTTTCCTTGTTTATTGATTTTACGTCTTAAACCTGCCGTACGATCTCCAACCCATGCTGGACACCTTTCCGTCCCTCAGTTGGAATGGAGGGTGCATCTCTCCACGCCTCTTTGGAAAATTAGTATTCGTGCTTTATGTTTCCGTTAGTGAAAACGCCTCTCAACCGTATGTTCACAGCAGTCTATACGCATCGGTGAAACCAAGTTCAGATACAGCGTTGTTTAGTACCGCACCACGCAGTACGCACGCACGGCATATTGTGCCTTCATGGACTTCACCTTCTTGCTTTCAACTTTTTCGCGCAAGA